TTTTTTTTCAATTTTGGCCAAAAAATGAAATTGCTCCAAACTTTGTAGAAAGATGTCTCAGACCCCATAGAATGCATTCCAACTCGATTTGTGGAGGAAATAGCCTTTGAAAACGAAATATTACGTCCATATTATGGGTTAAAATCAGTCAAAATTATTAATATTTTCTTTGAAAAATGATTCTTTTTGCCCAATCTTTAAAGTTATATAGCTCTTTCAATATTGAATGACACTCCCCTTTCATCAAGAGTCATTCCTGCGAAGTTTGAAGAAAAATCATTTTTTGGCCAAATTTGATCAAAAAGTAAGGCTAACCCCTTACATTTTTTTTTCAATTTTGGCCAAAAAATGAAATTGCTCCAAACTTTGTAGAAAGATGTCTCAGACCCCATAGAATGCATTCCAACTCGATTTGTGGAGGAAATAGCCTTTGAAAACGAAATATTACGTCCTTATTATGGGTTAAAATCAGTCAAAATTATTAATATTTTCTTTGAAAAATGATTCTTTTTGCCCAATCTTCAAAGTTATATAGCTCTTTCAATATTGAATGACACTCCCCTTCCATCAAGAGTCATTTCTGCGAAGTTTGAAGAAAAATCATTTTTTGGCCAAATTTGATCAAAAAGTAAGGCTAACCCCTTACATTTTTTTTCAATTTTGGCCAAAAAATGAAATTGCTCCAAACTTTGTAGAAAGATGTCTCAGACCCCATAGAATGCATTCCAACTCGATTTGTGGAGGAAATAGCCTTTGAAAACGAAATATTACGTCCTTATTATGGGTTAAAATCAGTCAAAATTATTAATATTTTCTTTGAAAAATGATTCTTTTTGCCCAATCTTCAAAGTTATATAGCTCTTTCAATATTGAATGACACTCCCCTTCCATCAAGAGTCATTTCTGCGAAGTTTGAAGAAAAATCATTTTTTGGCCAAATTTGATCAAAAAGTAAGGCTAACCCCTTACATTTTTTTTTCAATTTTTGCCAAAAAATGAAATTGCTCCAAACTTTGTAGAAAGATGTCTCAGACCCCATAGAATGCATTCCAACTCGATTTGTGGAGGAAATAGCCTTTGAAAACGAAATATTACGTCCATATTATGGGTTAAAATCAGTCAAAATTATTAATATTTTCTTTGAAAAATGATTCTTTTTGCCCAATCTTCAAAGTTATATAGCTCTTTCAATATTGAATGACACTCCCCTTCCATCAAGAGTCATTTCTGCGAAGTTTGAAGAAAAATCATTTTTTGGCCAAATTTGATCAAAAAGTAAGGCTAACCCCTTACATTTTTTTTCAATTTTGGCCAAAAAATGAAATTGCTCCAAACTTTGTAGAAAGATGTCTCAGACCCCATAGAATGCATTCCAACTCGATTTGTGGAGGAAATAGCCTTTGAAAACGAAATATTACGTCCTTATTATGGGTTAAAATCAGTCAAAATTATTAATATTTTCTTTGAAAAATGATTCTTTTTGCCCAATCTTCAAAGTTATATAGCTCTTTCAATATTGAATGACACTCCCCTTCCATCAAGAGTCATTTCTGCGAAGTTTGAAGAAAAATCATTTTTTGGCCAAATTTGATCAAAAAGTAAGGCTAACCCCTTACATTTTTTTTCAATTTTGGCCAAAAAATGAAATTGCTCCAAACTTTGTAGAAAGATGTCTCAGACCCCATAGAATGCATTCCAACTCGATTTGTGGAGGAAATAGCCTTTGAAAACGAAATATTACGTCCATATTATGGGTTAAAATCAGTCAAAATTATTAATATTTTCTTTGAAAAATGATTCTTTTTGCCCAATCTTTAAAGTTATATAGCTCTTTCAATATTGAATGACACTCCCCTTCCATCAAGAGTCATTTCTGCGAAGTTTGAAGAAAAATCATTTTTTGGCCAAATTTGATCAAAAAGTAAGGCTAACCCCTTACATTTTTTTTCAATTTTGGCCAAAAAATGAAATTGCTCCAAACTTTGTAGAAAGATGTCTCAGACCCCATAGAATGCATTCCAACTCGATTTGTGGAGGAAATAGCCTTTGAAAACGAAATATTACGTCCATATTATGGGTTAAAATCAGTCAAAATTATTAATATTTTCTTTGAAAAATGATTCTTTTTGCCCAATCTTTAAAGTTATATAGCTCTTCCAATATTGAATGACACTCCCCTTCCATCAAGAGTCATTTCTGCGAAGTTTGAAGGAAAATCATTTTTGGCCAAATTTGATCAAAAAGTAAGGCTAACCCCTTACATTTTTTTTCAATTTTGGCCAAAAAATGAAATTGCTCCAAACTTTGTAGAAAGATGTCTCAGACCCCATAGAATGCATTCCAACTCGATTTGTGGAGGAAATAGCCTTTGAAAACGAAATATTACGTCCATATTATGGGTTAAAATCAGTCAAAATTATTAATATTTTCTTTGAAAAATGATTCTTTTTGCCCAATCTTTAAAGTTATATAGCTCTTTCAATATTGAATGACACTCCCCTTCCATCAAGAGTCATTTCTGCGAAGTTTGAAGAAAAATCATTTTTTGGCCAAATTTGATCAAAAAGTAAGGCTAACCCCTTACATTTTTTTTCAATTTTGGCCAAAAAATGAAATTGCTCCAAACGTTCTAGAAAGATGTCTCAGACCCCATAGAATGCATTCCAACTCGATTTGTGGAGGAAATAGCCTTTGAAAACGAAATATTACGTCCTTATTATGGGTTAAAATCAGTCAAAATTATTAATATTTTCTTTGAAAAATGATTCTTTTTGCCCAATCTTCAAAGTTATATAGCTCTTTCAATATTGAATGACACTCCCCTTCCATCAAGAGTCATTTCTGCGAAGTTTGAAGAAAAATCATTTTTTGGCCAAATTTGATCAAAAAGTAAGGCTAACCCCTTACATTTTTTTTCAATTTTGGCCAAAAAATGAAATTGCTCCAAACTTTGTAGAAAGATGTCTCAGACCCCATAGAATGCATTCCAACTCGATTTGTGGAGCAAATAGCCTTTGAAAACGAAATATTACGTCAATATTATGGGTTAAAATCAGTCAAAATTATTAATATTTTCTTTGAAAAATGATTCTTTTTGCCCAATCTTCAAAGTTATATAGCTCTTTCAATATTGAATGACACTCCCCTTCCATCAAGAGTCATTTCTGCGAAGTTTGAAGAAAAATCATTTTTTGGCCAAATTTTATCAAAAAGTAAGGCTAACCCCTTACATTTTTTTTTCAATTTTTGCCAAAAAATGAAATTGCTCCAAACGTTCTAGAAAGATGTCTCAGACCCCATAGAATGCATTCCAACTCGATTTGTGGAGGAAATAGTCTTTGAAAACGAAATATTACGTCCATATTATGGGTTAAAATCAGTCAAAATGATTAATATTTTCTTTGAAAAATGATTCTTTTTGCCCAATCTTCAAAGTTATATAGCTCTTTCAATATTGAATGACACTCCCCTTCCATCAAGAGTCATTTCTGCGAAGTTTGAAGAAAAATCATTTTTTGGCCAAATTTGATCAAAAAGTAAGGCTAACCCCTTACATTTTTTTTCAATTTTGGCCAAAAAATGAAATTGCTCCAAACGTTCTAGAAAGATGTCTCAGACCCCATAGAATGCATTCCAACTCGATTTGTGGAGATTTGAAATAGCCTTTGAAAACGAAATATTACGTCCATATTATGGGTTAAAATCAGTCAAAATTATGAATATTTTCTTTGAAAAATGATTCTTTTTGCCCAATCTTCGACGTTATAGCAGTTTCAATGTTGAATGACACTCCCCTTCCATCAAGAGTCATTGCTGCTAAGTTTGAATAAAAGTAATTTTTTGGCAAAGTTTGATCAAAAAGTAAGGTTAACCCCTTGCATTTTTTATTTAATTTTGGCCAACAAATTTAATTGCTCGAAACGTTCTGGAAAAATGCCTCAGACGCCCTAGAACGCATTCCAACTCGATTTCTGGAGGAAAAAGCCTTTGAAAAGAAAAAATGTTTCAATATTTTGGGTTATTATTAATTATTAATATTTTCTTTAAAAAATGATTCTTTTAGCCCAAATCTTCGAAATCATAGCGGTCTAAATATTGAATGATACTCCTCTTCCATCAAGAGTCATTTCTGGGAAGTTTGAAGAAAACTCTTTTTTTTTTTAAATTTGATAAAAAAAAATGTAAGGCTCACCCTGAATACAGGGTGGTACAAAATAAAGGAAACCCACTTTTGACAGCAATTTCACCTACTTAATTAACTTAATTCAATTTTTTCTTCACATAATAGTACCTGAAAAAAGTTTAGTAAAAGTCGCAAGAATAGTGACATCATCGTTATTTGAATACAGGTCACCAAAATCAGTCTTGTCCACGTGAATTGGACGTTTTTGTAGTTCACAAGAATTAAAAACATTGCCAACAAAATGTTTCAACCTGGTAACTTTTATTGAGGCTGTCTTATTATTGATGTCAGTGTTGAGATCATCTATAACGCCTTTAGACTTAGGTTCGTGTTAACAGCTTAACACATGTACTATTAATCCTTGTTTTAAGTGTACTAATATTTTGTTTAAAAAACAAATTCCAATAATCCGTGGACTAACAGCTTTCACACATGAATTTTTCAAATACATTTATGTAACAATAGCTCAAGACAAAATTTGCAATTCCAATGTTCTTTCTTTACTTATGCTAAAATGCCGGTACTTTAACAGCTTGCTTTAGCTACAACTCAAAAAAGAAAAAGTATATATAGGCGAAAATTGCTGTCAAAAGTGGAATTCGTTTATTTTGATGTATACTTCTATTTCATTACTTCCAATTTATTTGAAGAAAAAAAAGAGGTTAGTACGTGAATTTGCAGCCAGATAATTTGGAATAAACTTTGAAGAGTTTATGTTTCGATCAAGTTTGTATAAACTTTTTTCCTGCTGCTTTTAGGTTTCACTCCACGTTATACAAGTACATGATCACAAAATAAAAACTCAAGAGGTTTCTGATATTTTTTCTAAAGCATTTTATTTACAACGTGTGAAAACAATCAGATATTGCCATTGTCTAAAGACATCAGGGGAAACAAAACATAATTTCATTTTAGCCCAAGTTAAGTGCTCGTTTTAGGCCTGCATATTTAACAGGTATGGAGAGGGGGGGGGGGGAGGCCTTGCAAACATCTGGAAAAAAAACTGCCGTGTGCTATTGTTTAAGTCTAGAAAATGAAGCACTAAGCAAATGGCACATTCTTTTAACTGATTTTGCAGGGGATTTTGCAAGGGAATTCAAGTTCTATGTAAAAGAAAACGTATGGTCTGTACCTTCCATATCATGGTGGTTTTGTGGGGTAAAAATCGTGGGGGTGGGGGGGGGCAAAATTAAAAGTCCTTGGGCCGCCAAGGAACATAGGATCAATGGTATATCAAAATTGTGTGTACAGCTAAACCCTAACCTTCCAAAATCCTCCAAAATCCTCTTAGCAAAATGGAGGATTGATGTGTGGCTGATTTTTGAACATACACAATGTCCAGGACTGGACCTTGTGTTGTTTTTGCTCAGCTGTGCAAACATTTAGGCCAATGTTATCCTTAAAATCCTCCGCACTGCTTCAGGATGTCGCTGGCTCTGCCTCAACATATCGACAGTGATTGCTGGAGGATTTTGCAGGATTGAGGCAGTGGTCACCCCTCCAAGGACCACATTCGAAAAATAACGAAGGATTTTGCAGGATGAAGGCTGTATGCAATTTTTACGTGGAGGCAGTTGGAGGATTTTGCAGGATTGAGGTTGCATCCCAGCAAAAATGCCTAGGGAGTTAGGATTGAAGGAACCCCTTTATAAAATACCTGCGTCTTTCTGTATAAACTTGAAGTACGGAAACCTTTATGGTAAAATTGAAACAGCTCACAAATCCAGGTTTGAAAGGGATTTCGTTTTTACATCATGAAAGCAGGAAAAAAGTGGCAATTATCACCCCTGCGATGAGAAGTATCTTAGAGGTGTAGGCTAAAGGTTCAAGCACCCAATTTTTTTTATAAATTATTCCTGCAGTTTGAAGAAGAAAAAAAAATTGGGAGTTTCTGATGATTTGAATGGGGGGTTGGGGGGTTGGCAACGGTGCAATTACTATACATGCAAACCACAACAGGTTCTTAATAAATTTGTAAAACAAATCGTCAACTTTTGCAAACTCCAACAATCTTTTCAAGATTCTCTCTTAGTAGTATCAGTCACTGGTAAAGAGACATGTCTAAATCACTCCAACAAAACACTCAGCTATTCTTACAAGGTTCCACACCCCACGTCACAAAATGATGGCTCGGTTTAGGGGAGATGGCAGAGCGGGTCAAAGCAAGAAGTTTGTTTCGGTGAGGGGTCGCTAAAACTCCGAACGGTTGACGTTCCTCGTCTGTCATGTTGGGACAGAACATTTAATGTCTCTCTCTCTGTGTTTTGTTAGTTTGTGGGCGGGGTTTGGTTTCCTAATAGGTGGGCTTGGGGATGAAATCGCCCCATTCTTGATCTCTCCAAAGCTTGTAGAATGCCGCCCAGCCACCAAATGCTACGCACGTCCCCGAGCCAACTGGGTAACTGTGGTCTGCGAAAAGACAAATTGACAGTGACAGGAAACTTGATCACTAAATGTTGCAAGGGAATTCTTCATAGTGAGACACATGTACGTCTAGAAGTACATTAAAAGCAAAAGTCGGTCCCATTATCAAGCCAGCGTTTCACTCCAGTTTTCTTGGCATAAAGCATAAAACGACTGAGAATGCATTTTTCCATTCCCCTCGCTGGGATGCCTGCCTTATCTTTCATCTAATGACAGTTACCAATTTATACTTCCAGGCATTAACCCTAACAGAACTCAACCCATCAAACCTCAACAGCATGTTTTGTTGGAATCTGTCAGGATGGGTACAGTACCCCTAAACTGACAGTCTTTTACATTGGGATGGCACACCTCCAGAAAAAAGGTCAGAAATATGTGTGCGCCGTTTCCCATATGGTGTTGAAATTTGCCAGGATGGGTATGGGTCCTAGTGAATCATGCTAGAGAGTTAGGGTTTAAAGAGAAGCAAGTTGGGGTAAAGCAGATTGCCCAAGGACACAACGTATGGCCAAAAGCTGGATTTGAACCCCAGACCCTCTGATCATGAGTCACAAACCCTAACCACTCTGCCCCTCAAATTCAGAATAGGCCGTACCCAATATTTGGTCAAATTGGTTTTACACTATTAACCTCAGTTTGACCCCGTCTCAAGACTTGCGAGATGTACGTTCTATATTCTCAATTCTTTATCACTACATTGTCAATAACCTACAATACCAGGTTTTATGAAATCTTTAAGGTAGTGCCCTCTTTAGTTTCTTTTCGGTAGCCACATTTTGGAAGAATTCCACGAATGGACATCACAACTTTTTTCCCTGCAATGACCATCAGAAAGGAAAAATATTGTTAGCATTTTTAATACTGAGAAAACAATTTGAATTTTTCAGACCGGTCTCATAAGGTTTGTGCACATTGTGTCAAGTGATGTCCAAGTATGGAACTCTTTCCAAGTATTTTTGCTATCCGACTCAATTTCTCTTTTTGATAGTGAGGGTGGGGGAGGGGGGTGGGGTGAATGATACATTCATAAGGACTTACATTTAGCGCCTAGAACTGCCCCCGCCATGCACCCTCCGATGAAGTAGTTTAGAGGGTCGTCTTTACTCCTCACAGAGGCTGATATTGTGGTTCCTGCTCCGAAGACAGCTCCCAACGTAGCTGAAAAATGAGAACATTCAGTGCGTTTTGAATTTGTTGCTTTCTTTTTTGTTTCTTTTTTTCTTCTTTTTTTAGAGGGAGGGGAGTTGCCCACATGGACCATAATTTTAAAAATGACATGAAGGCCAAAAAAAAAATAGTTCTGCTTCTGGTTTCCCTACCTACCCTATTCTGACAGCCCCTACCCTAATTTTTTTATGGGAAAAATGAGAAAAAAAACACACACAAAACCATCAATTTCTACCGTTTACCCTTGACTACACACAGACGCCTCCATATGATAGTACACACAGAACATTGGCCAAAAAAACCCAAAATTCCCTACCTACCTACTCTTTTTTCAAATGCCATGTACTCGGAAGCAGAACTTTTTGGGGGGGCCTAAGCTCAGTTCTTTCAGTGACCTTGTTAGAAAACTTCAGGCCAAAATAAAAACATAGCTCTGGTGAATCGTCCCTGCAAGCATCTGATGCACGAGTCTTTGCACATCAGATTTGTGCCTCCATGGTGTTACAGGTTAATCCTATGGGCTCCGTGCGCCAACAAAAGAGGGTGCTTTTTTACCACTTTTGAGAGCCCCATGGACGGGACACAGCATGTGTGTACTGTACTGGCACATGGATCGCGCGCAAAGAACGCTAGACTTCTTTATCCTGCATGTGCATAAAGCTAACTCATAGCGTTGTTCGTGTGAACATCAGGCGTCATCTTTTTCGATGGTCTCCCCTAGACTAGTCCCCGCCTCCCATAACTATGGATACATTCAAAGTCCGCAGTGGATGGACCTGGAACCAGGCTACAATGCCGGCCAAAATGGTTGGGACACTTCCTGAGCCTGCCACGGTCACCCACTCCCCCGCTCCCCCGGTCAATGTTGTTCTCTCCAGCTGATGGAGCACACACCGCGCAATGAGAGACAACATTGAACGGGGGCCGGGGGGTTGGAGGCCCAGCAAGATTTGGCCAGGATTGTAGGGCTCCCCCAACTCTCTTTCTCGGGTCGTTGAAGGGGTTATTGTGCCCCGAGCCCGTACAATAGCACTGCCCATCTGTCTCCACCATCATACAACCAGGCTACATGTAAGTCACAAGTGATAGTCAGTCAGTCAGTCCTTGAGATAGGTGCAAAGTAGTCTAGGAGCTAGACGTTGTTATGATTTGATATGCGAGAGGGCGCTATGACGACCAACCAATATCACCCACGAACCTGTCAGGAACAACCTCTAGGGTAATTTGTAAAATCCCCCCCCCCCCGAAAATGGGGGAAACTAATGCGCATGCGCTACTTTTGCAGGCAATTATGGTCCATTTTTAGTCCCATGCAGTGCTGCATCTTTAATACTCCTGGAAGAAATTGAAGAGTTTGGGTCGGAACTACAATGAAAGGTTTTGAATGCACGCTGCATATATAAGGCCAAACAGGTGTGCGTGCATTATACAACCGATCCAAAATTCCCTAGACGTTGTTCCTGACTATTCGTGGATGATATTGGTTGGGCGTGATAACGCCCTCTCACAGCAGTCGGTTATCGCGCAGCAGGCTATCACCTTTCAACCCATACATGTAACAACGTCTAGTCCCTAGACTTCATGTAGGTGCAAAGAAGACCCTAGCCTAGCTCTCTGGGACCAGCTCAAAGTATACTCTGGAGAGCAAGGGTTCTACGTATACATCTCACCAAAGTCCACTTCTTAATGTCCACTTCTTAACACTGAGGTTAACCTTCGAAGGCACGTGTGGTCTAGCGGTGGAGCACAGGATTCGTGATCGAGAGGTTGTGGGTTCGAACCCCACCGTGGCCATGCGTGTTGTGCCCTTGAGTAAGGCACTTCACCTCAATTACTCCTCTCAACCCAGTTGTTAAATGGGTACCGGCATTGTTCAATGCTGGGAAGGTAACAGACTCGCTGTGGAGGAGGTGTGGCGATCCCCCACAGCAGCATACGAGTCTGGCCAAATCGCTATGAAAGAGAGATGGGCACTCCGTTCCTGTGAATACAGGTTCGTCCCCGTTACCTTTACTTTTTAACCTACATAAGATGCAGGGGGAAGCCTGTGCGAAAGAAACGTGACTGCGGTTGCTCAAATCTTGACTGAGTGATGGTGATACCACAGCATGAGAACTCACCCAATGTTGCCGTGTGATTCAAGCCCCTTCCCAATGCCTCTGTGAAGTTCTTGGGGAAGTACATCGACAGTGCAATTGTCGAAAGTCCCACACCTGAAAAAAAAAATGTGAGAACAAAGGAAGATTATGCGTTTTGAAGTTAATATTATTTTTGTCATCAATATTATCAATCGATCTATCCACCTCGTAGCCAGCTACAGAGTCAGGGTCGATTGCCCAAAATAGGCTAAGCCTTCTCAGTACTACAAAAGCCGATACTGTCATACAGCGCAGGGCACATCGCTCCACCAAACAGTCGTTGATTCAGTGCGACTTGTTTCTCTTGGATCGACGACGGTGACGTCACAAACGCCCTCAACGTAACAGCAATGAAATGGTTGGAACAACTCGGCAGACACTATGAGTCAGTAGAGCTATGACTGACATTGAGGTAATGATGAAACAGCTTGGCGCCAGGCTGCAACACTCTTTCCAGCATATCAAACCCCCTCCCAAACCCCCCCCCCCCCATTTTTTTTAACGAATCGTCCATCATTCAGGCTGCTTTAGGCTCAACTACTCCACGAATTCAAGTGACAGTGGTTTAAAAGTTTACCTTGAGTGATGGAGATACTACAAAATAATTTTCCAAATTTAATCTCTTTCTATTTTTACTTAATGACGTCAAAAAGTACCAATGCTACTTTTCCTAGTTCCGGATCGGTTTCATCAGATCGGCCAGATTTCCCAAAACCAGTTTATTCAAGAGAATTCCAGCAAATTTCAAGAAGAGAATAGCCTTTAAATGATTTTGAATGATTTTGAAACTTTTGTCTGCCGCGCAATGGCACAAACTCACGCACAGACCGAAAACCTTTGACCTAGCAAAGAATACATCGAACAAAAACGATTAACGTACATGTTGTTGGGTGGTCAGTGCACACGGGATCCAGAACTAGGTTAAAACATACGGCCATTCGTTGGCAAACTTTCAAATATTAGAGACTCTACAACTTATTTTGATTCCACAAACATTCGATGGAAGAGTTTATGTAGTGTAGGCCCTATAAACAAAATATTCGAAATCACACAGTACGAGCACTCCTGGAGCAGGGTCGCACTAAAAAGCGTCAACACAGCGTCAACACAGCGTCAACACAGCGTCAACACAGCGTCAACACAACGTCAACACAGCGTCAACACAGCCTCAACACAGCGTCAACACATGACAGAAGCATCAACACACCGTCAACACATCCAAAACACATTCTGAATTGACAAAAATGGTATATAATTGTATATAATTCCATTGGTTTGAGTTTCCATTTCGTTGTTAAAAATAAAGTATTTTCACGCGAAAAAATGACCTTTCACGTGCACGGCCGTTGTCCGCCATTTTGACTTCGCGCAAAGCTTGGACTACACCATTTCAAGTAGGGGTGTGTAGGTAATGACATTATCTTGTCATAAACAACAGAGGGATACCAGATCTGTGAGGACTGAGGATCGGAGTGGTGGATCATTATTTTGTGAGTTGTGTTTATGTTTCATTTACTTTATTGAAATGGACATCTTTTGGTATTGGCCGGCCGCGCCCTCTCTGTTGGTTTACTCTACAACGCTATCACCCTTTAGCATAATGGTATGGTCCGCACTGCCACTGATATGGCAGCCGATTTCGGAGCGGCACGGAGAGCCAATTTTCTTGAACTGAAAATCGCAATTTTCAGACGTTTAACCTATTAATTTTAAGCAAAAATCTTGCTTCTGACCATACTGTATGGGTTACTGCTTTTGTCACTTTTAATGCATTTTGGATGTGTTGACGCTGTGTTGATGCTTTCGAGTGTATTGACGCTGTGTTGGCGCTTTTTAGTATGACCGCTGGAGCTACTCCTAGAACTATGAGGCTCCACTATGTGGAGCCTCATAGATTTAGAACCCCGCAAAATTGTTGTCAGCACAAAACACTAATTAAGTACAAAAACGTCCATCAAAATGCAGAAATTTCCCACAGAACCGCTGCACAGTTTGCCCCCAAACTCCGTACTACACCTCATGACATACTCACAAAATATGCGCAGAACAAACATAGCTGGATTTTGTCGTTTTTGGGGCTAAAATTATGAAAAATATGCCCTTTCCGCACTGAGCCAACCTGACACTTGAAACGTGCACGCATATGATCGAGCGATGATTTTCGGTTCGCTCGGAGCGCGCCGCGGGGTGTGCGGTACAAGCGAAATGATAGTATGCGCATGCGTACAAGTGCATGTACCGTACCCCCCGCGGCGCGCTCCGAGCGAACCGAAAATCATCGCTCGATCATATGCGTGCACGTTTCAAGTGTCAGGTTGGCTCAGTGCGGAAAGGGCATATTTTTCAAAGTTCAACATGTTCAACTTCAAGAAGCTTACATTTTTCTTTTCAAAATGCCCTTGCCTTGGTCAGAAAAAAAAATATTTATGACTTTTAAGTTATCCAAAAGAGGTAGCCGGCAGGCTCTTATTTGAAGCAATCCGGAACTAGGAAAAATCCGGAACTAGGATTTAGTAGGAAAACGTGTACGTTCAACGGTTCACTTCACAAGTTCACTACTGCGGCTACACACATTTGCCATGTTTGCAAACGCCGACTCACCAAAAGCAGCTCCTGTTGCAGTGGTCTCCAGGACCTTTTTGGCCGGCTCTTTGCCGTCGATGTTGTCATAACGAACATTCATGGTCGCTTAGCTGTAATAAGCGTAGTTTGTGTCAAGAATTCTCTTAAATTTGATGTGAAAAGATGTGCAAGTACGAGCAACGCAGCGTTGCTTCGTTCTGCACCGGTGCCAGTTGAACTTTGACATTGACATCCGGTACGGTACTCGGCGATTCGGCTGGCAATAATATTCCGAGACCAGAAACGGAACTATTTGTTTGAAAAATGATTAAAGTTCTTTCGAATCGAGCAATATATTTAATATTTTTTGTACTATAAAGATTATCTTTTAGTAAGAATTCGACAAGAGAAATTCCAAGCAAATTGTTCCGCCGTTGATCCCCGTAAATGTTTAAAAACTATTTTCTCTTTGCGAATGTGTACCATGTTTCAGAAAGGTGCTGCTCGGCACATGTAAATAAATGGATGTACGCGAACGGAAGTATTTATCCTGTGTTTTTTTGAGCTACTAATCGGGCTATTTCGACGAATGCAAACTGGTTAAAATAACTAGACAGGTAGATATTTAGTTAAATGTAATTTAGGAAGGAAGACCGGCCATGTTTGTCAGATCGATCGCTGTAATTATGCCATAAACTCGTGATGACCATTGGCATTGGGCTTGGACGAACTCTAAACGCCGCTCGCACACTGGGGTGAATCATTGAATGATGTACACGTCAACTTTCACAAAATAAATTTGTAAACATTACATGACTTGACACAATGAATGAATGACATCAAAGTAGCCGCCCCTCCCCCATTGTTGACCGATCGTTTGCTAATGATGTAATCAAGTGTTGGTGTAGCTGTTACTTTGACCGCTGCAGCACTGCAGGGTTATTTTTATCAGTGACATCTTGTTGGTTTTTTTTTTGTGATATAAAAGTCATGATGACAAGAACACATCATCATAAATTGGTGATTTAAAGGTTGAAGTATTTCGAACTGCTGAATCTATCACTGCCGGTGCTGGATAAGGTGTATCTCTAAACTTGAGTAAACTTAAAGAAGTATTTTGTAAAAAGCCCACTCCATTGATATTAAGGTTCACAACTGTCAAAGAGAGTAAGTTATTTTTGTGTTGGTAGTGTAGTGTATGTTGTGTACATAATTTAACATGTTCAATTAGGCTAATCAACATTGATTTTTAGGTTTTCATCATCTCCTCGATTTTCACTCCAGCCCCCATTTTTTTTTATTATAGTTTTTCTGAAAGTGTGTTTTTTCCTTAAAAAAGTGTATTTTCCAGACAAGTTTCTCACCAAATCCACTGGCACGGTCGCACTGTGAGGTTTATTACCCTTTCTAAATTCTAGACACCAACCCTAGGTCATTAAACAGCTGACTGGTAGTTAATATGAAGTACATGTAGTTTTTCGTGTTTGTTGTGTCTTCTGTTAGGTTTACCTGACGTTGTCCCCTCAATTAACTTTGAATGTGAAAAGTGGAATTTATAAAATATAAAATATGAATTCCCCTCCCGACTGATTGTTTGTTTCAAACTTGACTGATGAAAACCAAACATTCAGTGTTGATTGGCCTTAGATATTTTTTTTTTAAATGACACCACCTTGACGACCAGTGTACCACAGTTGAATAAATATTTTTTTTTCTTCATTTTTCTCTCTTCCAGAATGACGCCTCTACACCTTGCACAACTCCTTTGCCATATTTTTACACTGGGACTCTGCATTGTGTGCAGGGTGCAGGGGGCCTTTGGATTTGGTAGGCCACAGGTGTTTACTGTTTTTATCACAAAATGTCGTTTTTTTAATATACAACTGAAATCCCCTGCATGTACAAAAGTTTATGACTTTACAAACGTGACCAATTCCCCAAGTAAGGGGTGGGGCATTGAGGAGGGGGAAGGGAAAACAGTTGATAGGGGCCTATATACACATTTTTGGTGTTGTTATATACTGTACATATGACCAATCGCAAAATAAATAAGAAATTTCAAATGACCCCCCCCCCCCGAAAAAAATGAAATAATAATACATTTTTAATAAATTCATTGATGTAATTCTTTCTCAAAATGTCTTCCATAGTAGGTTCTTGTAAGAACATAATTATGTTCTTCCCTGGTATTTTTTTTTTATATTTCAGACTCCTTATTTAAATTAATTTAATAACTTTGTTGTTTCAGGGAATGACCGAATCCTTTTAGACGATGTCAAAGTGCTGACTTTGTATGACAATAAGATGACCCAGGGACGACGAAGCAGCCCAGTACCACAGGTACCATATCTCGTCTGTATGTTACGATGAATGGTAGCAATATGGATGTGACTTGATTTGGGGGAGGGGGGGGGGTATAATAAAGGGAACCAAAAAAAAGACCGGTTATAAATGTGTAATCTTCTGTCCAGTTTTCATCAGGCGCAGTTCTATAGCCAATATTTTTTTTTGGGGGGGGGCCTAGCAGGGTGGATTTTTTTGTCAGGGAGGCGTGCTGAAATGTAGACCGATTATTTTCTCTAGACACTTAAGCCTCCGAAAATCAATGGGGGGGGGGGGGGGACTCGCGCCATATTTTCACCTGATCATCTTAGCAATTATTTGCATATTTCCATCTTAACATCTTATTTCCCATGTGTAGTTTCAGGGACTTAAAGATTTCTTTTCAGTTTTGCTCTGGATTTTGCTTTGCTTGCTCTATTTTAGCTGAAGTGCGTCGGTGGTTCAGCGGGCTGCTCGGCCTTCAGACCCCAAGTCGTCCAGTGTTATAATCGTGGATCGGATGGCTATGACATACAGGTAAAAGTACAATGAACTCTTGCTTTATTTCTGCTCCAAAACAATTCAACAGTCACTTGAAGAGAAAGCCCAGTTTGATAGACCCCCTGCACAAGTACCCATTCAGTGGTCGCAAAGAACGTGGGAAACGACTGGGAGAGACATTTGAATGCGTTCTGATGGTGCATTAAGTAAACTTAAATACCGTCTCAAACAAATGTGGTCCATAAGGCCAGCGTTTATCTCCGGTTTCGGTAGCTTGGACTATTTTAACAAAAATGTAAATTAACAATTAAAATAACATCTTATGTAGTCGTGTGTGCGCTTGCATATTTTTTGTTTCCTTTTGGCAAAAACCTATTCGATTATTCTGTTGATGATCGCAAAATTTGTATATTTGGTAAATTTGGGACATCACTTTTAGAGGACTTTAGGAAGGTGATTGGGAAAACTGCAAAATGGCTTCACTTATCAAATTTTGTATTCTTGTTTGTAGTGGGAATGCAAGACAGACATGGACAACAGCTACAGGTTTGGGCAGATTGAGGTGACCTGTGAGGGGTATCACTCGCCTGATGATGAATACGTCTTGAAAGGCTCCTGTGGTGTAAGTCTGCTTTGTGGCAATGTCAAGCAAATTTGGTTAAGACTCTGTCGATTAATCAGTGGTTATTTCATGATGCATCTTGCATCTGAAAATGTAAGATTAAATGTGAACAATCACAAATCAATGTGTGACCCATTGTCATCCTGAAACTCACGCTCACAAGTTTCTCTGGTGATACGTGGAGCTATTGTGTCACTCAGTGCAGCCTACTGTCACTCAGTACAGCCTACTCCTCTGAGTGACTGAGTCACTGACTGAGTCACTAAGTATGGATTGTGTCCTAATCAAAGATGCTCAATTCAAGCTTGATTAGGCAACCTTTTTCTTTTGATGTTAACAATTTCCTTTCTGCAAAGAGTGTGTGTCCTAGTCACCCAATCCTAGCCTTAAAAAAAACATCAGGCCAAAACTTACAGAAAGTCCACTCTGTGATTCCAACCATTCTTTCTCCCTCACATGTCAGTTGGAGTACACCTTAGACCTAACCAAGGAAGGTATGCAGTCCCAGAGCTACCAAAAACAGCACAGTTACTATGGCAACGATGATTACCATGGAAGCAGCTACAAGCGGAAGAGCTCCGGCATTGGCGACTGGATCACGCTGGCCATCATCGGAGTCATCATCTACGGAATCTACAGGAGCTGTATCGCCACAAGCACTCATAAATATCCTTTGCTGTGTTACAAGTTTGCCATGTGATTCTATAAGTAACATTTTAAGATTGCCACACATACAGGGTGCATACCGCATCTTCCCGCACGTTTAATGACCCTCCAACTTAGTCTTCTGCACTTCACAACCCTTCAAGTTCGGCAAAAACCACTTTGGCCCATAGAGTTAAAACCCACACTTCAAATTACTCTGTTGAGTATGGATAACACTTCAAATCCCTGCACAATTCTTTTTGTGTGGTTAAGCTCGGGGCAAGCAGACAGATTCAGTCACGCTTCACTGCTCTCCAAAGCTCTGTGTTTTGTACAGTGGCTCTGTGTGACTCGGTTATTTTAACACTTCATATCCCTTCACCGGAAACTGACCTGCAGCGTTTTAAAGGGTTTTACATTTTGCTCTGAATATCGACTTCCCACTGGAAAGGACCTCCCCTTGATGCACTGAAGTTTAGCAATGAGTTTCAAAGCGCCATACTCAAGGGCACATGCACCATAAACCCGGGCTGGACTCGAACCCACAACCTGCAGAATTACCCGCAGACCACGAATTCAGTGCTCTAGACCACTAGGCCACAGCACTCCTCATTTAAAAAAAATTATAATCCTTAACTTAGACCCACTCCAGACAGACCAGATGACGGCTACCCAAGGCAATCAGGCTACGGGTCTGGCTATGGCTCAGGCGGCAACCCGCCTCCCCCTGGCTTCCGTCCCGGCTATGGCTCAGACAGTTGCTCTGGCTCCCAGGGGGGCGGGGCCTACGGAACAGGAGGTGGGAGGGGCGGCATGGGAGGTGGGGGATTTTGGTCTGGCGCTGCGACCGGCGGCATTATGGGATACCTGTTTGGTGGCAGGGGAAAGTGAGTTTGAATTTGAAGGATTTGTACTCTTATTCTAGTTTCGATCCTACCAAAATCTGTCTCAAAATTTTGATGTAACCTTTTAATAAGATTTGACTAGGATCGAGATGTTAGTCTGTTTAAGATGCGACGGTTTGTATCAGATCACTCCAGTGAGTTTGGAGTTACCAGCAACTTCCTATTTCTCATTTCTATTTCTGATTCTGGTTTTAAAGTTATTAAATTGTTGTTAATCCTCAAAACATTTCAGGAGGGTTTTGAAGAATCTAACAAGCTTAGTGTTAAAATTTATTAAATAAATGGGTCCTACTTATATGTTGAAGGGGGAGTATTGCCTAGATGGTTAGGGTTCGTGACTCATGATCAGAGGGTCAGGGGTTCGAATCCAGCTGCTGGCAATATGTTGTGTGCTTGGACAAGATACTTCACCCCCACTTGCCTCTCTCCACCTAGGAGTATAAATGGGTACCGGCATTAGCTGGGGAGTAACCTGTGATGGACTGGCATCCCATCCAGGAGGAATTACATTTCACGATATTCCAAATATTTCATGCCACTGAAACCAGAAAATAAACACCAGCCGGATGGGCCATATTGCCCATGACAGACTTTACTTTTACTTACATGTTTATTTATAATTGTGGTAATGTAGTTATTGTTATTTGTTTATTATGTTTTTCTACCGCAGTCGAGGGTACGGTTATGGAGCACCAACTTACGGACGGCGCGGTTACGGAACTGGTGGATTCTTCGGAGGAGGTGGGGGCAGTGGGTACAGATCAGCAGGCGGATTCAGCGGGGGAAGTTTTGGCGGAGGAGGGTCTACAGGGACAAGAACTGCCTCTGGTAAGTCAATACAGACCAAAACATTTTCGTCGTTGGTTCTAGCGGGCCGGCCTATCGTCCTCTCCGTGTCCACACCTGATTGACTGACTCACTATCACATTTAAGCCAGGCAGTGCTCTTGTATAGGATTACTTGTTTTTTCATCAACTAGCAGGATGCCCAACTTTGCATTGACCTGCTATCTGGGCGGAGTAATATAATACTTTTTACTTTGACCTCAATTTGCATGTTGACCCCACGTGGGCGTGGTAAACCTTCTCGAAGCAAGTTTGCCACATTTTGTATCATTACCATTACGTTTTGCGTAATAGCGATATGTTTTGGAGTGTTTTCACCGAGACTTGTGTTGTAATATTTAACTACTCAAAGTCCAAAAAAAAAACAAATTCGCCAAAAAAAGCAAAACGATCCAAATAAATCATTTGTTAAACGTGCCAACCGTGACTTCAGAGGACAATGAAATCGCAGGATATAAACTATTTAATGGCCTGCATACATGAACCAAGCCTCTCCATTAAACATTGCATTTTGTGCTTGCGCATACTCTTTAGGCCTTGTACAAAAACACGTGACACAGACATCCGACAGACAGACAGACAGACAGACATCGTAACATATTTTGATATATAAGCGATTTTTATCAGCTATTTACTTACGATTTTCCATGTCTCTTCCTTGCTGAATCTGAAATAGTTTTGGTGAAAAAGAAAAGTACAGTCTATGAACGTTGCAGTTCTGAGCAGACAATTTTAATACCAGAACAAAATTTTGAAAACCGTTTTGTGTGTTTTTGCAGGTTTTGGTTCGACCAGGAGACGTTGATCGGGAAAAAATGGATCGGCATCAGTTACCACGGTAGCAGATATTTTGTACAGTTAAAGCAGTGTGCACATACAAATGTTGCATACTTATTTTATTGGATGTTTAATTCTTTTGATTTGTAAATATTTTTGTTTGCAGAAGCTTTCAGCTGTCAGTGCAAAAGTGTAAATGCAAAACTTGTAATGGTTGAAATAAGAAAAAACTGATATTATATTTCACCAAAATGCATATTTTTCACTGCAAATATGATGACGCCTATTTAAAAGGAATTATATATAATATTTTCTTTTGCTGTAATTTTCAAAAACATGGATTTGTGGGGTTAGTATTATATAGAAAATATTTTTACACTGAGCTGTTAAAAGTTTTGTGTTCTGGATGCTGGGGGGAAAAAGAACAAGAAAAAAGTGCTGTTCCTGAAGTCTGGTTCCCTAACCCTACAAAATGGGGCAATTTTTAGACATCGTGAATGTCAGGTCAAGCAACCAGACTAGCTCTCAACCATCGTTGGAAATCGATACAAATATTCCACTTTTGTAGGAAATGACAGCACACCAGGTGCCATGATTTCCCAGGATGCTTGAGACTTGAGAGGTTTTTCGTAATAATATAGTAGTTTTGTTTTTTGATGTTCGCAAATGTTATACATTGCCTTTTACATCAGTAGGATCAATTTCAGTAAATGTTGAATCTTTTGCACAAGTGACTAAATGCAGATGAAAATACGTGATATACAAAATGTATGTGTACACTCCTAATTTATGAGGAAAGAAAGTTTTATTTTCTGTTGTCTACGAGAGTGCCTGCATAATGTAAATATTTCAATTGCATAATGGTTTACCATGTAAATATTTCATTTTTAGCTAGTGCAGTGCAAAGAAAAGTAATGTGCCCTTCACATGTATAGCCGCACTATACGTCAATTAGAATTCTACAGGGACAGGAAAACATGAGCGCGATAATTACTTTTTTTCTCCAGAATTTACCATTTAAAGGTCCCATGCAATGTTATTTGTTTTAATGCTATCCTTGAAAATGCACCTGTGTCTCCAATTAAACCTTATTTTCAATTCTCGTTCGGCCATTTTGAAGAGTATTTTGGTGCCCTTTTTTTGTTATTATGCTAATGCGAATTTGCATATTCATGAGCAAAACTTTGATGTCATTCCGGGCAGAAACCTCAATGTTACAGCTGTTTCAGCACAAAAGTTGCTAGTTTTTTTTTTGACATTTTGCTATCATAGATGTTCATTTCGTTGTGTCAGTACATGGCAGTAAGCCAATGAGCAACCCTTTCCCGCATTTTTGTTTCAATTAGCAAATGTTCGGTTCACAATTTGAACACAAAACCCCTAAACTGAACAGTGTCTTTGTAAAGTGACATCACAGAAACAGCGCCCCGGATGTCCAGAAAAGCACTAAATGTTTAAAGAGGAAGACACTTTTCAACAAAATGAACAAAAAAATAGGATGTCAGATATAGTTTTCATACATATAAGAATTAAGAGGAGTAGAAAGTTGCTCAAAATGCTTAAGAAAAATGCATCGTATGCCCCCTTTAAATTGTGCATAATTCTTGACAATTTTAATATTACATCTGTATGCAATAAAGTTTAGTATTTGTATGTAAACATTCCATACTCGATGACAATTCATGTTGGTGTTTGGAAAGTAAGAATGATAACAATGATACTAAACATCAAAGTCACAAAAGAAACTTGTCTTGCTTTACCTTTTAATTAACGCATCGATCAAATATAGCTAAAATAAATGTACTTGAATAGTAGTACAAAGTTACATCTGTGCGAGTCATATTATTTAGTCGTGCGTTCACCTTTAGCTGATAATGGTCTTTCACAGCTTACTGCAATTCCATCTACACACCTACATATGACTTTGTGTCTCAAATATTGTGATATCGCTGGCATTTTCATACAGTTACCATTATATGTCATTGAGACGGCTTTTCTGTTTTGACATTTATTTTTCCAAAAAAAGAAGAAGAAAAAAGTGCATGAGTCAAAATTATTTTCTGGTACCAGAGATTTTGTGTCTCAATTGTGATATTAACATTATGTACATTCAATAGTAACGTAGTATGTATTGTATATAATAATACTTAAGAAGACACACAATGGACCGATCCAGTAAGCACCGCCCCATGGTATTCTGACCAATCACAGTCGTGATTTATGTCCGACATGCGTGCACAAAAGTCCGACATGCGTGCACGCGCGTATGACGCGCGCAGCCGGAAAATGCAGTGTGGCATTGGAGAGGAGCACGTGTTAATTTGCCCAGTGCGCAGTGGGAGGGGCTTACTGGATCGGTCCATTCATCTCACAAATATCATATGCCTGACTCACCAGGTCGGCATGACTTTTAAACAAGTGTTTATATGACCATTCATTACATCAATATGCGCTGATTTCTTGAGTAAAACAACTTATATACATTCATGTAAATTTGCATTAAAATGTTGTTAAAGGTAAGATACAACATTTGCAAACATCAAAATACGAAATGATCAAATTATCACGAAATATCTTACTGGATTGTTAGGGAACGACTGTCTAAAGCATCCTGTAAAGTTGTAGCTCCTGTTGTGCTGACATTTTCAAGAAAAACTGTATTTTTCCAACGCTGGTCGGCCGACCAGCGTTGGAAAAAACTGGCTTTTTCCAAAAAGTGCTCCTTATTTTTGATATTTAGTTCGTCTGCATTTTCTTTGCAATTGATTACACACCTGTGAAGACTACAAGCCTGCTAGACTGATTCTCTGATCTTACAATTCCCCAAAGTCTATAAATTGCTCCATTTCATCTTAAGTGGGTTCAGGGAACCAGACTACAAGAATATGATTGGTTTTCTCGGTTTTCCCAGCATCTATGAACCCAAAACACGAAACAAGTTAGTGTAACAATATTTGCTATAACATACTAATCCTCCAAATCAATTTATTTCTGAAAATTGCAGCAAAAGCAAATGTTGTATATTCCCTTTAATGTTTTTTATTGAATTGTATCTTTATTACACAGATTGCATGATATTAAAGCATGATTACAATCGGGATATGCTTCATTTTGCTCATTAATGGCCCTTGGTTATATAAGCGCAAATATATAGTACACCTCTGAGAAGAAAACGTACGTCGATCCTGTGATACACTTATGATCATTTAGAGACATGGCGCATAAACTTCTTGCGCCTTATACATGGTTGCAGACCAGTCAATAAACTGCCATACACCCCAGCCGTGATAATACCCTCTTTTCAGAAATCAGGGAAAATACTCCCAACTGAAGGTCAGTGTTTGAGACACACATCGAATTTTAAACATATTTAATCATCTTTCATTTTCTGTTAACTTTGTGGGGAATTCCATTCCAAGATAATGGTCACCCTTAAAAAAAAAATCTTGAAGCCATTGCCGTTTTCAAAAATTATGCGTACGCTCCATTGCAAAATAGAGCCATTTTATGGGGCCCAATTTTTCAATTTCTAAAAGCCCTCAAATTCATGACCACAAAATGTTCTAATAGAAAAACAATTGAGGGCATGCCATAATTTGGCCGGCGTAGGCAATTTGGGCCTATTACAGGCCTGCAACTTTAACTTCCTGGTAAGTTCAATGACCGCGGCTCATTGCATACTGATGCAGCGCCCTCAACGTTACAGGCGGCGGTGCATTTATGCCATGTCGGAGAGATTGTTTCAGTGGTGGTTGGACAATCGCGGCATAATTTCATAGTGGCTGGTTTGGTGGAATTTCTTTGATTCGTGTGAAAATATTGTTGTACATTTTCTGAAATTGAAAGACGGATGTGCATCACTGAAATGAGTGACACCACCTGACCTCAGATAACACCCTGAACGAAACTGAATGCATGAAGAAGAAACCACAAAATTATGAGTGACGCTTTGGCATGTAGCAAAAAGAATAGGCCCACGTCACGGATATACATATATGTTTGCGCACGCGCAAATGTATCAATACAAATACGTCACGGATCACGCTGAGAACGTGCATCATTTTACAATCATCGGTGTAATCTGTATGAAACGGAAACAATGCACTATATCCGTATAAAGTATTTGGTCGATTGATTGTTTGAGCGGCAGGCACAACCCGTGACAAGGACGTGCACTGATGAATATTCATGTCGGTATACAATTACAAGGAAATCACTTTTTCAAGAACATGTCATGTCGGTATGATTTTGTCCATATCATAATCATGACTTGCAAGTATTGTGAGACTTGTTACCAGTAGTACAAACACAATTTATTGAGGATACACTTCTGTTTCTACAGTGTATGATTAGCAGTTTAGTTCCTTCTGTGTCAATTTTTTCTCCATGAATGGAAATCCACTCTATTTTGAGTGAAAATTTTCTCCATTTAGTTGAAACTGTAGGGACAATTAGACGATTGGGAGTGCAAGGCTCATTCCATGGAGAAATAAAATCGAGTTTTACTCGAGTTTGCGGAAACACCATGTGGGGTGAATAGTTTCTCAAACTAGGAGAATGAATCTGAAAAGAACCAGAGGTATAAACTCGACGTTCCGGCCAGTATGCTCTGACCGTCTTCATGAGAGTGCCTAAACTCTAAGAAAGTAAGGGCACCAAAATGGAAATCGATTCCCACATGCCGGTGTTTCCGCAAATCATTCATTAGTATCTGCACCATGCAAAGCCTCAAATCTTACTTTCTCTCGGTATTCTCAATCTAAACGTAATGTGATGTTGGTTCTTATTGAGAATAAGCATACATGAGTTATAATTTTGAGAGTTTTAGCTGGATTGATGGAGAAAAGATGGCTAACAACACCGATTGTCTGTTTTCGCTAGAAGGTCACAGGTACGTGATATCACCGCCGGACAGGACACGGCTGTCCACCAGGAAGTAACAGCAAGTGTCTGTTTGACTGTGTGGATCTCATTCATCCGTGTACTTTCCACGTATCACGGGGCAGCCGGGTAGTCATCCCGGGATTTCCCGCTTGGACAATTGACACAAAAGCCGCTTTGAATAGAAGGTCCGCTGAATTGTGGCCAGCTTAGCCAGGCATTGTCCGGTCGTGCTGGCTCGACTGCACTGACCAGAACTCGAGTGGTCTTACACAGCAGGGTTTTTTTTCGCGAGTTTACTTCCTCATCTGAAGAAAAATCATGGCGTCTCACGAGTCGCATTTGGATCGCTGTGGTTTTTGGATGATTATGATCTTCGTGTCCTTTCCGAATTATGGTAAGTGAAAGTTGTCAATCCTTTCTGGTTTCTACAGTCACTGTGGGAAATTTCATGCACATATATATATTATATTTTCACTCGTGTAAGATTTAAAAGTACACACAATCAATGTGCATGTATAATCGTCCACTGCCGACTTCACAGTAACAATACAAGCTGTGATGGGTCGTAAGGACTACATACGTTCCCCAAACAAAATCGTCCTAAACAATAACTATATCGGTGTGTTTTGGAGTATTATGGCGGGTGTTATTATTGTCTCAAAGATTCGTGTCTTTTTGAAGTGATTTAAAACAGACAATTTTGTTCGTATGTGCACTATTTGTTAGCATACATGGGTGACAAACCAAACGTGCACAGGCATTCTTCCTAGTATCAGCGTCCACTCCTCGTGGTTTTGTCCCTGGTCCCCCAGTCACTTGGTAACTTTAATCAAACGATTTCACAAATTCCTGGAAACGATTTCACATTTTCTTTTGGTGTGAATACAGGCGCGTCCCTCGACATCATTTCCAAGCCGACACAACAAAGTTCCAGCTCCGGGGCTGAATTTGGTCCAGAGAAGGCCGTGGATGGAGACATTAATACCATTACGCATACTGGTAAAGATGGCTGAAATTTGTAACTGATAGCTGTACCTTTTACCTGATAATGTTTGTAAACTCTTGTAGGCCTATTATGTCCGTGTCATTCTAATGGTGGAAGTTATCATAACTTGGAAGTTATCAGAGTTATCCATCGCTAGAGCATTAATGGTATTAAAAAGACAATAATATTGAAGGTTACAAAAGGTTTTTTTTAATTGACGCATCAATAAAAAAGCATTTCATTTGTTTTCCTTCGTAAACAATCATGTATGATACAGCCTTATACCAGAGATATTAAAAAAAAATATTAATAAATATATACTATATACCGGCACAATAAACGTATTGCTGACAAAGTCGCAGTTCGATAAGATTTACATGGTTCTTTTCAGAAACTCAAAAAGTTAAACGTTGAGTTTTCCTACGGTTCTTTTCAGAACCTCACAAATTAAACGTTGACTTTCCCTACGGTTGTTTTCAGAACCCCACAAACTTAAACGTTGACTTTCCCCACGGTCCTTTACAGAACCTCACAAACGTTGAGTTTCCCTACGGTTCTTTTCAGAACCTCAAAAACTTAAACATTGAGTTTGCCCACGGTTCTTTTCAGAACCTCAAAAACCTAAACGTTGAGTTTCCCCACGGTTCTTTTTAGAACCTTACAAATTAAACGTTGAGTTTCCCTACGGTTCTTTTCAGAACCTCACAAACTTAAACGTTGAGTTTCCTCATGGTTAATTTCACATCCTCACAAACTTAAACGTTGAGTTTCCCCACGGTCCTTTACAGAACCTCACAAACTTAAACGTTGAGTTTCCCCACGGTTCTTTTCAGAACCTCACAAATTAAACGTTGACTTTCCCTACGGTTGTTTTCAGAACCTCACAAACTTAAACGTTGACTTTCCCCACGGTCCTTTACAGAACCTCACAAACTTAAACGTTGAGTTTCCTCATGGTTATTTTCACATCCTCACAAATTTAAACGTTGAGTTTCCTCATGGATCTTTTCACATCCTCACAAACTTAAACGTTGATTTTCCCCACGGTCATTTTCAGAACCACACTAACTCACGAAAGAAATTTGTCACATGGTGCGTCCGTAAATCTTAACTTTAAGTCATATTTGTTAAATTACAAAACGCACCACATTATTTTTAGGGGAAAAATGTGAAACTTTCCTTTTTCTTGTGTGCAGCATTTTGGTATGCTTCTCAGAGGTTCGAACCTTGGTGGCGATTGGACCTGGAGGCTGTCTACTGCTTGAGGAAAATAACCATCGTCAACAGAATGGACCAACATGGTAAGATTAATGACAATGAAATGAATGGTTTCAGTCTTTTGTAAGGTTTTGAAAATTACATTCAAATCAGATCTAAGAGTGGACCAAAAATACTTTAATCGCCACCGTCTTTTCATTGTCTTGATTTGTCTTCTCCGTTCGTATTGGTTTTTTTTGGTCAAAAGTCAGCAGTAAAAGTGACGAATGTATAAAAAAAAACCTGTTTAATTTAATATTTAAATTATGTTGAACACATTTCCTGTATGTTTATTACGTTTGCGTGAATTACCAAGTAAAATGTGTTAAAATTTTAAGACTGTTTTCGCTTTGTTTGAAGAAGTCAAATGGATTTACAACGTTAATTATCTGTTCATTTTCTAGTGTGGGTTTTTTGTTGAAAGTGGGGTTTTTAGGGGGGGGGCTGGTTGTATTATTGCGAGGATTCATCATTTTCCATTTGCAGAAAAAAAATATTAGGATAGTGAGAATCAAACCTTCCATCCCTAGAAAATTATTCATTTTCTAAATAATTTGTGTTTTTTTGTTTCTCCCTCTCTATTCCAGATATTCGCTTAGACGGCGCTTTAGTGCGTGCTGGATTAAATGTCGATCGTGTGTCGAACAGGCTGATAGGAACTGTCGATTACAGCGAAACCGACGGCGGCATACGAGTCACCACTGTGGTAGCTGACCCGCTGGTCAGTGCCCGCTACGTGAGCGTGGATCTTCCCGGAAGCAATAGATACCTGCATATGGGGGAAGTCATGGTGGAAGAGTTTATCGATGCAGAAGCGCTCGCGTCAACAGGTGAATTTTGTGAAGTTATAATTGGGTTTGCGTTCGGGAATGTAAATAATTTATGTACATGTATACACCTTCCCACCTACAGTAATCAAGTGATTTCAGTAGTAATTTTAAAATGTAATAATTTTCAGAGCAAAACATTATGTTTGTGTAAGATTGTTTACAAAGCTTTTTGGTGTGGACATTAAAAGTTATGGGGTTTTCAAACTAAATTACTAATAAAATAACGTTGAATTTATCTATTTTCCTGATAACGATTGTGAGAATTGTTGCCGTTGTGATAGAAACAAGTTATATTCATTTAACCCTTAAAAAATTGTGTTTAAAACGCCTTTTTATTTTTTTTTATGGAGAAATGCGATATATAACTCGTTATATATGATGTGTATGCTTTTCTTATTGTATTCTATTTTTTTGTTAATTACTGAAGCCATTCCCGTGAATGGAGCTTTAGCGTCTCAAAGTTCCGCTTTCAGCTACACAGGCGGTGATCCATGGGCTGCCGATCGTGCTGTAGACAGAGTATTCCAAACTCAATACGACAACCCTTCTTGCAGTCAGACAGGTAAGCCTCAAACCGAATGATTGATTAATTGATAAAAAGAAATACAACGTAACTCAAATGTTGAAAATTTATTAAGAGCGAATCAACCTGTATAATTTATGATGAATGTATTTCACTTAAACACTCAAGTTTGCTTAGTTGGACGCTCTTACGCTGTTAAAATACTGAGACTAGATTAAAAAGTGTTTACTGAACCGAACATGCCTTTCTGATGTAGGATTTCGTAGAATATTGGAACGCATTGTGTTGTCTTACATGAGCTAGCTTTCCTGCAAGCTTGAATGATGATCATCAAAGCCGCGAAAAAAATGCATACATTTTTATGTCGCAAATAAATAATGAAAGGCATAACCTCCATTCTTGTTTGTGTTTGGGTTTTTTTTCAGGTAATGAACAAGGCCCGTGGTGGAAAATTGACCTGACGACCGAGCAGTGTGTTCAGAAAATCGTCTTGAAGAGCAGAGACGCAATATACCGTAAGCTGATTTCCTAAGAATACATTTAGTCCTTTAATTCTCGAAGAAGGAAAAGCCACATTTTGTCTCAGATTTGTTCAATTTGCTTTTCGTTTAAGATGACATGACCTTGGGTTTTGTGCACCAATAAAAAACAATCGCATTTGTAATACCCCTCCCAAACGTTTTGATTAATCTTTTCTCGACCTTATTAAGGAATCTTTTTAAGCAACTTGATACATTACCATTTCTTCAAGAAACGTTATTTAAAGCACGAGGAAGACTCCAAAATGTCTCCCTATTGACCGATGTCTCCCTGATGGGAATTAATTTACCAGGAAGTGTCTACCTAAGGTACCACTGTCAGACAGGTTTGCAACTTTAAAAATCTGTTGCCCTTAGACAAACTTGTTACCTCAACATAAGACGGTTCTTTTCTTTCGTAAGGTCGAGTCAATCGCATTTTTCCTAGAAGCACAGACAATTAAAAAATTAGTTGATGCCAACTTCAATGTTATCCTCTTCTACCACAAAAGTAAGCGGGAGGTATCGCTTCGAAGGCGCCGTTGTCCGTGCAGGTCTGAGCAGTGTGCCCACCGATAACCCAATGTGTGGAAGTCCACTTACCAGATACCAAGCTGTAGCCAATAACTGGATGGAGTTTGACTGCAATCCACCTGATGGACTGACTGCTCGATACGTCAGCGTCGATATTCCAACAACGACGTACCTCCCGGTGTGCGAAATATTTGTGCTGCCGTGCGACCTGCCAGCAGGTAAACCTTGAAGTCTTACTCACCTTCCCATCTCTCATTATTCCAAGCTCCTCGATGTCCTCTTCATCATCCAAGTGATAAACATGCACTCAGTTAGGTCTATCGACAAATTGTAGTATTTTCAACAACCAAGGCTGCACTTTCATCATTCAATTTATTCTGATTTGAACCTGAACATTGTGCGAAAAGCCAACAATAATACAAACTAACGTCAAACTGCTCGTTTTCTCTCATAGCGGACTTTACTTTCGTCGCTAATCCTGCTCTCGTCAACTCGACTGGAGGCAACGATGTCGTCCTGACAGCATACAAAGGTCCCAATGACATACCTGCTGGTGTCACATTTGGCCGTCAGCTGGCAACAGGTGGGACGGTTGGACTTCCTCCAGGAGCAAGCGAAGAAGACGAGCCATCATTAGGATGTGCAGCCAGATCGCTTCGACTGCCTGCTGAGGATGGGAGGAACAGGGTCGGTGTCTTCTACTTGGAAGCAACTAGAAGGAGCACCATGACAAGGATCCAAATAATTCTTTTTCCTAAAGATGGTAAGAGTCTAAGTTGCGTCTAAACTGGTCCTCCTTGATGTTGCAGTGTTCAAGACAATGTGAACGCTCTCTCACGTTTTCTTCATCTTTGAAGTAGTCTCAATGTGTCGCATACATGTATAAGTTTCCACAGACTGGAAAGACCAAAGACGTGCGTCATTCACAACATCCATCAACATCAGGGATTCTACGATTTACTGCACTTTACAACTACAAGTGTAAACAAATGTCAGAAACAACATTCATACGTTTGGGGTAACATTAAATGTTTTACAGGTTCCGGCATTACCAATTAAAAATGGTGGAAATGGGTACCATGAAGATTTGAAGGTCTGTTTCCACATTTGAAAACAAACTTCCTTTTTCATTATTTGGTTCCTTGCTGTTTTAGATGGAAGCATTCATTTACGTCCCGTTCAACGCACGCACACTGCAAGTGTCGGAGACTCGGTTCAACTTGAGATGCGAAATGTAAATGCACCAAACACCAACTACAGATGGCGGCATGATGAAGGTGACGTCATGACATCTTGGAATGACCAGCTCAGTGTGTCTATTGATGTTGTTGCTGTGAGTGATGGAGGAGTCTACAGCTGCTTCGCATCTGACCAGGAGGATCAGCAACTGCATGGCATCACGAGGCTCATTGTGCGAGGTTTGTGCACAATTACATCGCTTTGAAATTATTCCAATAATTTTACAGTTTTTTTTAAAGATGTTCCTGAGTAGGGTATCCCCGTGTGGGTTTTCCTTCTCCCAAGATTTTTCGCAATTTATTCAACATATCTAAAAGATTCAAGACATTGTTGGGTCATTGTCATAGTTGACATCCACACTACAATCCAAAATGTATCCAAACCCAATTTCTAATATCTCTTATTTCCTGAAAGCACTTCTGATAAATTTTATTTTCTCAAATCAGGTTGTTCCGACGGAACGTGGGGACCTCCGTCTTGCACGAACACCTGTCGTCGATGCTACAATGGAGGAGTGTGTGATGCCAGCGCCGGATCCTGTGTCTGTGCTCCGGGTTTCAGTGGCAAACATTGTGAACAAGGTACATAGTTTCTGACAATTAAAACGGCACTATTGAAGCTAGGTGTATGGATCTAAGGCAAGAATTGACATGCAAGAATTATTGGTTACAAGCAGTGATCTGGAAATCTTCAATTGATCCTCATCCAAATATGGGTCATGGGCTGAGCAGAACACATGTATCCTAATCAGCCATTTTTATTATATTTACTTAGCCATTACGTCATGAATAATTACGCTAACTAACCATGGGTTTTTATACTCAAACTGTTTGTTGGTACAGTTCATGGCCGAAATGTGTTTGGTCAAAACGCTCGGCATAGATGCTCCAATACCACCGATCCACACGACGATGCTTGCCGGGGACGTTTGTTTTGTCTTCCTGATCCTTACGGGTGCTCGTGTGCTGCAGGATTCACTGGACTAGACTGCATGCAGGGTGAGAGTTTACTAGAACTTACAATTAAAGTCGGAGCTTATAATATTTGAATGTTTGTGTTAGAACCCATGCGCGTCTTGGAAATTCGTACAGAATTTGACGTTTGTATAAAAGACAAGATCAAATTCAGTTTTCGAAATTCAGGGCACATTAAATAAGCACATCATTATGATTGAATACACCTGTTAACGATCGTTCGAAGTTTTCTTTGAGTTACATGACTTTGATGAACTTTTATTTCACAGAATGTGAGGAGGGCATGTATGGAGCTGACTGTAAGCAGACATGTCACTGCGCACTAGGAGAAACCTGCAGTAAGGATACAGGCGAGTGCAGCAATGGCGTTTGTGCCTCTTCATTCTTCGGAATCAACTGCCAATGTTCAAGTAAGAAATAATGCTGTTCCCTTCTTGACCTAATAGGGGATTTAGGTCGGCTCGTATCAATTGGCTTAACATAATATGGACTGCTTTACAAGCCTTGTACAGTCGACTCCCGTTAGTAAACTGTTCGTTGTATCCGAATTTCGTATTATCCAATGTAATAGTTACCTACCCCGTTGTTTACTATTGTATAAGCCCGATGAATGTGTACGATGTACACAAGCGTTTTGTAATCTTCCAATGTAACCTAATCTGATGTGTAACTCCGTCTTTCCTGTTTTACTTCCAGGACGGGAGGCTTCGTCAGATGAAGTGACACCAACCTCGGTCAGCCAACGCAACCTGACTGTTTCCTGGAGTCGGCCACCTTGCGGGTTCCAAGGTGGCACCATCACCGGATACCTGTACAAACTCACCCACGTGAGTTCAGGTGCCACGCTGCGACAGACTAACACTACCCAGACGGCTGTTACCGTCGATGACTTGATACCGTACACCGAGTATGGCTTTCAAGTTGCCGCCACAACCAGCACCGGATTTGGACCTTTCAGTGGAAGTATTACAATAAGGACATTGGAGGCAGGTCAGTTTGTTTATAAGGATTTCATGTAAAGTTGTGATCAAAAATCTCCATTTTTAATTCCATATGCGTCCCTCAGAGACTTTTTAGTGTCTGCACGTGAAATGTTCATGACGACTGTGTTGTGCTCTAATCAGAGTGAGCTCTTTTTGAATGATTTATCCTGAAATTCCTGGTGGTATTTTCTGCAATGGATCTCCGTGGATCAACCTAAATTCGAATCAGTGCTGTTATCCAACGAAACATTCTTTGCACTGAATATTGAGTATGGGCATGTGAAATGTAAAACCAAAGTCTTTGTCCCCACAATCAGAAACTGTGATAATTAATACTGCCAAGACCTTCATGTGGATTTTGATGGATTCGGGGATATTAAAATGTCGACACTGTCTTTAAAACACTTGCTTCTTAATATTAAACTCCCACCAAATAATTATAGTCGTTTGAAATAGTTGCTTGTAATCTTTACAATTATGTTTGATGCCATTGTCCAGGGGTTTACCGTGTTTGACTCGTGTGCAATGGTGCGTGGGTTCGAACCCTGCCAGGAGCATGGTGTTTGTGCCCTTGGGGAAGACATTTAACTACAATTGCCTCTCTTCACCCAGGAGTATGTATGGGTACCTGTGAGGGTAAAGGACCGAATGTGCTCCGATATTGGCTGCCGCGTGGTCTCCCGGCCTGTTGAACGGGGACTAATAAATTGTAAAGCGATTTGAGATTGTTGATACGATGAAAAGCGCTTTAAAATATTACAATGTATATATTTTTTTATTTTATTGAAATTTTTGCAGAGCCCACGGCTCCTTTAAATGTCGCCATTCGTAGCGCTGACGCCGATTCCTTCACGGTGGAATGGACGGCGCCTGCCCCTCCACATGGGAACATCACCAACTATGACATCGCCTACTGGACAACTGGGAATATGTCCACGCGAGTACAACAGGATGATATTGGAACAGCCCAGTTATTGTATCAGATAATCAACCTTGATTTTAATGTTACTTACTCAATAGAGGTAAGTTACTTGGTAATTTACTTAGTTTACTCAAATTAAATTAGATGACGATTTCATTTAGACTACTTTTTATAATCTGTAATTAAAGAATTGAAGCAAAAAGGCTTCAAGTCGTTCATAATAAAACAAAGCCTAATGGTATTCGATTTGCTATTGAACTAAAATCAACTGTCCATATACTCAATAGGGATACTACTTTTAGTCTTATTATAGGTAAAGTTGTGGAGTTTGAAAGAAATACTCTGTAGACCTGCATGTTTGACCTATGTTTTGCAATTTTTTTGTCTTTTTTAATGGATTGTTTTTCTTTCTTGCAGGTGCGAGCTAAGACGTCCGTAGGCGCAGGCCCGTGGAGTGCCGTTATCACTGCGACCGTAGTAGGAGGTAGGGAAGACTTAACATTGAACATTTGACATTTGAGCTTAGAAAGTAGAACAGCAAACCTGAATATTACCCTAAAACAAATATGGTTTAAGAGTGCAAGTGGGATCAATCCTTAAGAGCAATTCATCTACAGAAGATACAGAAAATGAAATCTGAAACTTACAAAGTTGCCAGCAAAGTGCAAACCTGTGAATAGTTCTCATAAACACTACTGCGCAGAAATGTGCATTTTTATAACATCCAATCAGCAAACACAATACTGCAAATGAATAAAGTTCATGGAAAAGAGTTAACTGTTAACACAGTATAACTTCAGTTCGGTCTACTTGAGTCTTTGAAGATTCTATAATGAAGTACCTACCTCTAATTTCACACCACAGTGACAATTAATCATCAACTTACTCTTGTCTGTATTTTTGAGAGTTCTTCTTATGAGGTGTTCTCTTACCACTGCTTTGATTGTTTTCACAGTTCCTGGACTTATTCGCAATCTCCGCTTGTCAGATGCAACTGAAGTATCACTCACCATGGACTGGGATCCACCACTTAACCTCAATGGGCCGAGCGTCACATATGTCGTACGTAAAACAAACACACTATCCAATAACACAATAACAAATCACAAAATGCGCATCATGCCAAACTTTGATTAAAAAGTGTTCCTCCCGTCGTCAACTGTATCAAAATAGTGCACCTGTATACAGATAATGTAACCTTATCAGGGATTGGTCACTTCAGATGAAACAGGTGCATGTCAACAGGACACGCATTGTCTATCCAGACAAATGCATGTCAATCATATACCCAAATAGCGCACACCTTTCTGGCAACAATTCAAGCCTTTTGAAAGTCTCTAAAAGATCATGGATTTTCACGAGACTGAAGTACGATTCGGCGAGGTCAACACAACAGACATGCTTTTGACAAAGAGAGGCCACTCAAACAGTACAAATCTGAAGTTTAAAAGAATATTTATTCAATTGCCACTCAAAATAGATGTCTGTGAAAATTGGGTAAGATGGCATACTTCAAAAGCTTTCTCGAAGTGTGTGAAAAAGATTTTGTGAGTTTTTCATCAACACAACAAATTCATGAAAGCAAATTGTGATTTATTTTAAAAGGTGGAGTATAAGACATTGGAGAAACCATATCAAGCGGGTTTTACTGCGGAGGATGCCTACATCCAAACTGAAGCGGATAGTGCACCTTTCACAAGAGATGGTCTCGAGCCGGGAACAAAATATGAGCTCAAAGTTTCAGCAAAGAACCAAAGATTCACAGGAAATCCAACCGTGCTGTTGGCGTACACTGTAGCACAAAGAGGTAAGGTCGTTGTACAATCTTATGTTCAATGACTTAAATATTAGTTTAGAGGGAATTTGGAAGTTAATAAAGTGGTGCCGAAAGGAGTACAAGATTTAAGCTGGAATCGCATCCAGGTTTTTGACTCGAGAGGTTGGTTAAGCTGCCAAAAGAGGGCGTTTATCAGGATTTACAGTATTGTTATTCTGCGGCCCAATAGAGAGCTTTATACTTTAACTCCCCCACCCCAAACACTCGATTCTTATTTTTTTGTATTATTATTATGTACTTTATAAGATTTCGTATTTTCAAATTGACAGCCTGGTGGTCATAAGCAAACTAATCACAAAAGCTTTTTATCAAATATATATTTTGGTATCACATTCTGTCATTTCATCGTATGCAAAGAGGCAAATGAAAATTAAAACCAGGCTCATCCACGATTTTCTTTCTTTGTCTCACACTTAAGAGAAATGTTTTAGTTCTCAAGATTTCATCTTATCCACAGATCCTCCAGCGCCATCAACCCCGACCATGAACGATGACGACGTTACAGAGACCACGGTGACGATCGGTTTGGCCTCGGTACTGCCTCAAAGTGACACCTACATTGAGTGAGTGTGACAAACAACCTCCTCGACCTCCTAAGATAAGCATGCCTATAAATGACAACAACGAGTACGCCTTCAATCTCTTCATCCTCAACAACGGCTCATTTTCCTCAACAGATCTTACGTTGTTGAGGTCAAAAAGTCTGTCAAAGTGACAAGAAGGGACGCCTTGATGCGGAGACATTTTGAGGATTCACCTGACGATTACATCGCCGCTGAGATCTCTAAAAGCATGGTGTCTGACACATTCGTGGTTGGTGACTCCAAGGTCTATGGGAGTTACTTCAATGCCCCATTGCAGGCAAACAGAGTTTACGACATTCGCGTTGGTTCGGTCAGCCGGGGGAACGGGACGGTAAGACTCCGAGTTTTGTTGCAACAAAATGTCACAACAATGCGATTCATAAGTAGCTTGCCATCACATGAGGGATACAATACAACTTATGAACGATTTGGAAATCCTTAATTCAAAATCCGTTCCAAAAATCATAAATGAGACGCACTGAGAACGGATTGAGACCGCGTCCATTTCAGATTACTGAAAACCAGTCTAACACATTTTTAGATAAATTACCTACCTTTTGCATCGAGTGTGCGAAACAATACTATATTGATTGTCTGGAAATAAGTCAGTGGTTTTCAAAATTCCCAGGGTTTAAACATTGGATCAATTTTTTTTGTAAATGTTTTTACCACCAAAAAATGGAAGCATATTTGTTGTCTTGCAGGAAGCCTCGGTGACATTTTCGGAGCCTCTCACGGTGTCAGGTAAACATAGAATAATCGCTTCATCGAATAATTTCTTATTTCGTAAAGCTTAATTTATCCTCAATTACAATATAACTTTAAGACTAGTTTTACAAACTTATTTTAGCAAAGAGGAATTCTCCTTTATCAATCAAAACACTCATGAATGTGCACAATGTTGTATCAAATTAAAATTGACATCAACTGTCTCTGCTGAAGTGAATTGATGCCGTTGGATTTTGTTCTGTTTGCTGCAAGATTACATTCATTGGTACTCGTTTATCACAGTCTCGTCCCAAGAAACCAACTCATCAGCAGGACTGGCTGCAGGATTGGTCGTTATGGTTTTGGTTCTCGTCATTGCTGTTGGGGGCGTCATAGTTGTCTACAAAAGGTAATTATCAATGCAAACATGTCTTTGGCTGCTTCATCTTTACTGACAGAAAAGCCCATTACAAGGCTTGATTATCAAATGCATTCCCTGAACTGTTCTAGTGTATCTTTATCAGAAGAAGAACCAAACGGACGAAACATGCATCAAAGAAAAACGGAGTGACAACGCCCTCTGCAGAACACCAACATGCACGGAATACTGGAGTTGTCATCCAAGGTATTTAGCATTCCTGATTTTTCTTGACATAAAAAAAGAAAAATACTTCCTGACATGTTTGCTTAATTGTGTACACTTTTTGTCAAAGCTAGGCTACTCTAAAATTGTTGTAAAAAGAGTTTCTCATTTGTTCTTCTATTACTGCATGATCCCGCTCCTCTTACACAGTTCATTTCCTTAGACAGTTCAATTAGTAAAGTTCTTAGTGCAATACGTGTTTTTAAACGGTTCACATTTTCTTTGCCAAAAGGTGAATTTGAATTTGTATTCTCAGCAAGCATTTGACGAATTAGGCCTACATCTTTTCATTAAATGATACTAAGTACTATAATTTTGAACTTCTGACGATACTGGTTTTCAGATGAGGTGGCTGGAAGTGCAACAAATACATACATGAATCTTGGTGACCTGCGTCGAAGTAGTCCCCCTACACCTGCACCAGAAGCAACACAATCACAAACGACGCAACCACGAAAGGTGCAACCACAACCGACGCAACAAGAAACGACGCAACCAGAATCATCGACGCCACCAAAAACGACGCAACCAGAAACGCCGCCAATACAACACAAGCCTTTTAATGAGCCTCCGCCAGTTCGCATTGACGAGCTTGCGGACTACATTACTGAAAAAGAATCCGCTGGAGAAAAGGGATTCAAAGCTGACTATAAGGTAAAAAATATGACCTACTGAAACCCCTTCCAGAGAAAAACATTGAAGAATCTTATACAACAATATACGGATATCTGCAGATACATTTTGATTTTTACAAAAGTTTGTGTAAAATTTCAATTGTGTTCTTTAGCGTTACACAGAAACAATAAGGAATTCTTTCCCCTGAGTTGTAATACATTATTATAGTGTGTATAGAGATACACTTGTTTTTTTTTTATTCATTTGAATACAAACAATGTACAGACGCTTCCAGATGGTCAGCTACACCCGTGGACTGTGGCGAGGAAGCCGGAAAACAAACAGAGGAACCGGTTCGCCAACGTCATCGCCTGTAAATATATACTTCATTCACATCTTACATGATTATAGTTTCATTTGCCGACTCTGCTCTTCGAAGTATTGTAATTTGTTTGTAGTTTAATCACGTTACGTAAAGGATAGAAATATTGCCGACAATAAAGACACATTTATCCTTTTTTTCCACGCAGATGATCATTCACGTGTTGTGCTGATGCCTGTAGAGGACGACCCTCATTCGGATTACATAAATGCATGCTACATAGACGTAAGTCGTTTATGCACCGTGTCTTGTCTTAACTTTGTGACACTCTTACTCTTGTCTGACAAACCTAATAGCACTGGTGTCATCAGCACTGGTGCCATCAGGTTTAAGCAAAATAGTATATATTCATATCTGAGCAACATCGAGCTTCCAAATCCTTGTATGTATCAGCACCTCAATGATCTTATTTAATTGCTCTTATCTTGCAGGGATATGGAGAAACGGACAAGTACATCGCAAGCCAAGGTCAGTTTCCTCAGTTATTGGTTAAGCTTAGCCGTGACAAACATATGACTTTCAAATACATGCAACTTTCAAATACATTCATTATTTTAACAGAAAAAAAATGGTAAATTACTTTCAAATTCAATTTTTGTTCCTATAGGTCCGAATAAGGCGTCCTTGAAAGACATTTGGCGGATGGTGTGGCAGATGAACGTGGATACGATTGTCATGCTAACGAATCCAGTAGAAAATGGAAAGGTGATATTTAGTGAACATCTCTATTACTTCTACAATAACTTTTTAAACAGGTCGTTAATCTTACTACTGTATTTGAAATAAAAAAGATAACTTTTGGAGGATTTTCTAATGGGGTAAAACCGAGGTAATGCACATTTCAGAGAAGTCAATGTCTTTTCAATTGTTTTAACTAACTGTTTTTTCAAGCTTAAAACAAAATTACACTTTATTGAAACAGGTCAAGTGTTTACAATATTGGCCGGATACTGGAGCTACTACGTTCGCTAACATCACAGTGACAATCCTCAACGAACAGGTGTTTCTGGACTTCACGATCCGCCAATTACAAATAAATCAGGTAACCAACAAACAGATAATTGGTCTACGTATAGTAATACATGAAGTATTAGGCCTACTGTCAGAAAATATGGTCTACATAATAGTAATACATTATCATTACTGTCAGTAATACATTATGTCCAATTAAAGATCACTGATGTCACTGTTAATGAAATGATATTCAATATTTCAATTAATTCGTGCAGATCGACAATGAAGATGACTGTCGTATGGTGAAGCAGTTCCACTACACCACCTGGCCAGACATGAAACCCCCTGAATATCCCGCACCGTTGCTCAACTTCATGCGAGTGGTGAACGCTGAACACAACGAGGGACGAACCCTCATACACTGCAGGTATGGACATGACTATAATTTATCTTCAGCAAATTCTTATGCCAGAAGTCGTCATGCTAGCATTGCGTATATCAACTATCATCAATTTTATCACATGGAAAATGCCACTACATTTGACCAGCTCGCTTTGTCGAAATAAAACCACTGTTATGTACTCAAAATAGATGTACATGCCATAGAGATATTAAATTACTTTAATAAAGCTCTATGTTACATGCACATCTATTTTCTACATTCTCTTTTTCAGTGCCGGCGTTGGTCGCACAGGGACGTACATCTGCCTGGAGTCCATGCTTGAACAGATGAAACAGGAAGGACAAGTCAATGTTCTTGGCTTTATCCATCGCATGAGACAAAAACGCATCATGATGGTACAAACTCCGGTGAGTCCTCGTGTATGCGAACCCCCAAATTCCAGAAAGGTTAAAGTACCAAACACAAATGCAAAGTTCTGCATAATACAAATGACTAGTAGATGCCTTGTCAGCAGAAACAATTAACCGTTACCCAAGAAGTCGTTGATAGCAATTTACAAGAGGCTTTTTCTTTAAAGATCGGTTACCATAATACTTCATGGCTCATACTACATTTTGATTGCCGTTCCAGGAGCAATACAAATTTCTCTTCGACGCCCTTCTTGCGTCCTCTATGACTGGCGAGACTACCCACGATATGGCAACCTTCCGTCGACAGCTGACTGCTCTGAAAAAGACGGAACCTGGTTCCCAGGAAACTGGCATGGAGAAACAATTCAAGGTAAGAAGCAACTCACAGCCAATGTAGGTAACTTTGTGATCTGAAATCACAATTGATTTAAGATCATAAGTGCTAGATCTTAGAGTACTAGATATGGTAAAACCTTGGTACACACGGAAAGCCTCACCCAAAATGAAGTAATGTTTCGCAAAAGTTACAACCACAATACGCACGGCCTTTGATGACACGTCGACAAACGTTGGTCATCGTTTAGGGCCTACCTCCATTAATATCCGGGACGAGTTCCGGACAAGTTGGGGGTAGCATCATTCACTTTGTGTGGAAGAAAGTCTGTATTTGTCCCTCATTGCGGGAAGATTGCGGGAAAGTTGTTTAGAATCCTGCAACTTATAGCCGTCCGCAATTTGTCCGGAACTCGTCCTGTATGAATTGAGACGGGCCCGTAGTCAATCACTGACTGATGACATTCATCTTATTTTGATCAATGTCTATGAAATTGGAATAGTTCTGTCACAGTGAGATTGACTTGTGTGTTTGCCATTTTACACACCAGGCCTTGAGTAAACTACGAGTAAGTCGTAGCAATGAGAGCGCCAAGGCCGGAAAGCTTCCTGAAAATGTGGAAAAGAACAGATTTCCCGATTTCTTTCCAGGTAAGTGACTTGATTATGCACACTTTTTCTCAAAATTTCATTTAAAAAAACTGTATTTTGGCATGACAAGTCTGCCAAACTTCGTTTTCTTTTAATTTATATTGTTTTCTTTATCTAAATCTCTTTGCTTGAAGTAATATTAATAAGAAAGTATTCCACTATAGACATGCTGTTGGGGTATGCCAGTTTTGGGGAAAAAGATCTACCACTGATAAAAATTACTTGGTACTTGTACAACTGAAAGCGAATATTTGTTTGATAAAAAGCATCCTTCAAAAAGCGTCAGGTAGCCTTAGACAAGCCTCGTCTATTGTTATTCCTGTTGACACTCTGCAGCTGATCGAGCGAGGCCGTTCCTGATGACCAATACCAAAGAAGATGATAACAACTACATCAACGCAAGCTATGTGCCGGTAGGAAAGAACTACTCTTACCAGTACACCATATTATAGTCAGTAGAATTTTTTACATATACGCCAAAATGAAACCTCAGTAGTTAGTTAGAGGGACCTTGACTTTGTTTTGGTATTTAAAATAGGCTTATTAGAAAGGATATTGACTGCTGCGATAACATAGGGCTTAAAATGTATTTTTTTAAAGAGGGTTTGGGGATACAAACTGTTCATACGGCCGCCCTCTCAGCCGTTGAGATGAAGTTTATGTTTGGACCTAAAAGTCAGGCAAATAGATGTTTTACGAACTGGATTTCCTTGCAGGGCTATCGCAAGAAGGACAGGTATATCGCGACCCAGATGCCGATGCCCAACACCACTGCCGACATTTGGCGTCTGGTGTACGACCAGAAAGCGACTTGTATCGTCATGCTGAACCCTTTGGATGAAGACGATAAGGTGAGTTCATCTGAAATTTGTCTTAATTAATACCTAAATTCAATGCAACCGATGTTCTGAACACTTTGAAGCCCACCAAATCACTCATCATTTCAGGTAACAAGTCTTTGTAGTATCAATACAATTCTATAACGCGTTATAACTCACATACACTTACTATTCACCGATATTAATTAAAACACATACTAATTAAGCACTCTATTTTTTAATCTGAGCAGAGCATGTGTCGTTACTGGCCAGAGGAGGGACCTATCGAGTTTGGACCGCTGGTTGTAGAGCTATTACAAACAACGAAGAACAAGGGTGTCACAGCCAACACGTTCAGTTTGATAAACAAGAATGCAAAGGTAAGTCAAAACTTGAAAGATATGCTTGCGATCTTAAGTTTAGTCTAATGTGTTTGCAACTGGATATTAAAAACGCAATACATTTACTTTTTTTCTGCCTTATATCTCAAGAGGGCATTTTGGAAGTAGACAAAAGCCCATGGAACGCATAATCTATCAAATTAAGCCCGATTTGTTTTCTGATGAGCATGGTGAATCACTACAATTCCATCCCAGACCACATAATTATTGCGTTTTATAGGCCTGCTTCCACCATTTAAGTCATGTTCCCTGTATCAAGTATAGGTAGTGAATGATAACGTTTTTGTGCAAAAAGGAACCAGACTATTTTTCCCTCCAACCTCGCTTTGATTTACATTGATTGGAATGGGACAAAATCAAATGTCTGCACATGATAATGGTTATAGAGCTCAAGCCCAAGTCTTCTGTTTGAAATTGTTAGACTCATTTTCAGTCGTGGTAGTATTGATATCAAATCATAGATTGTTGTTTTGCACGTTCAAGTTGAATATGCTCCAATCCTATCCTGGTATTACGTACATCTCTTTCAGTCTGAGCCTGCGCGGACTGTCTGTCAGTTCCAAATCCAAGACTGGCCGTCGGATCAGGAGGTTCCCAGCTCTCGACAAGGAATACTCACCCTTATGGAGCTGACTCAAAAATGGCACGAGGAAAGACCACCCATCGTGGTTCACTGCATGTAAGTTGCAATCAAATACAAGAGGGCCGTGTGCAATAACATTGCCACTATACAAGTTTCCGTATTCTCACAGTAGAATTTCTGAAAGATGCGTCATTCTGCATTCTCAAATTTAAGGATTTTTTTCTGGCCAACTGAGCCAATATTTGTTTGATGCATGTATAGTGTTTTGTGTGGGCTTTTAAAGACCGCCCTCTTTGAATTTTCGGTGTCAGTTATTTTGATAAAACCTTCGAATCCGTGCGATTACGTCAAAAGCTCGCAGTGTCACTGCATGAGTGCATGTTAAAATGGATGTACATTGAAGTCGGTATTGTTTTTTTTGTCAAATGATAATCAATTTAATATTTTTAATGTCTTTTCAGAAATATTGTAAATCTTGTCACTTGCTAAATTCCCAGGTTTTTATTATGAAATGTGGCAAGAATATGTACTAGTTATGTCCAAAGTATTCATCAATTTGAACATTTTCTTACTAAGACTTCAAAAGTGGTTTTCGAACATCAATTTGATTACTTCACAATAAGACGATTGTGCTCACATTTTGTTCCTTATCATTTACATTCAAGTGATGGATTGGGTCGTACGGCAGTTTACTGCACCTTGATGTCCATGATGGAACAGTTTCAAGAGGAAAAGCTTGTTGACGTGTTTCAAGCCGTTCAGCGGTTACGTGTAGTGCATCGCAGTATGATGTACTCCCTAGTGAGTATTTTTTCATGAATTGTTCAGGCACATGCATGCGTAAATATTTGCCGTTTCGATTCAATTGATTCATTTATACTTTCTTTGTCCAGTAGGTGCACGCGATAACACACAATTGCTTGTAATTCTCCTTACTAGCAGCAAATTCCAGTCTTACCTTTTCTAATTGGCGCCATATTTCCATTGTCTTGCAGGATCACTATGCGATGTGCTACGATGTATTCCAGGCTAACTTGGACTCGTCCATTGTCTACGAAAACCTGTAGAACAAAAATCGGTACATATATACTTTTGTATAAGTTCCAATGCCCGTCAGGTATTCGATGATTGGACCTCTATGATACATTTTGATGTTTTCCATCGCTGGTCAGGTTTGTCCGGAGGGATTCGGGTGAAACATTCCAAAGAAATGACCACCCTCAAGACCAAAGACCTTTTGAAGACAGGGTGGTGGTTGTACCATTGTATAACGAAGGGGTTGTATAATTTTCCCTATCTGAACTATATATGTTTGTAGCTGCCTTTATTTAATTCAATACGGCAGAATTGAGGTTTATTTTTTTATGAGACAACGGGCAGCTTTCTGCGGGTTTTTCTTTAATAGTTGATGTCGATGGCTTTGGCATAGGATCGTCGTGCAGACGGATGGTGTTTTGATGATCATGTTTGTTTTTGTGTTTTTGTATTGTAAAAGTGTTTTTATACTCAAGAAATATATTAAAACTTTCTGGAATTATTCCAAAGAATTTCTACGGTAAACGTTTTAACAAATAAACAAATTTGTTTTTTACGCAAATATTATATTTAAAGAACTTTATATACAGATTTTCGATGTCTAAAATATGCCTTACCAAAACGCGTAGATTATTTTGATGTATTAAAATATGTTTTCGTACTTGAACCATCTTCATTAACTAAATGTAGGCGTTATAATTCTACACTCTAAAATTCCTCTTCCTCTCTCAAAGCATTTAAAATGTGAGTATTTCCTAGTGAATGTTTACACAGAACTCCTTATAGAGAATTCAATTTTGATTGATTATTAAATTCCGATAAATGTATAATAACTGTTATAAAGGATTTTTTTTTTGCACTAGTTTGTCTTTTCATTTCATTATCAGTAATGGGAAGATTCCTTCAATATTCATGTTATAGCTAGTTAGTGCATATGATACTTATAGCTGTGGCGTAGCCACCTTGCCGGGGTGGGGGGTAATGGGGGTATCCCCACATATTTTTTCATGAGTGCCCCCTTATCAGGAGTGTCATTTTAATCACGAGCGCTGTTTTTTTTCCAGAGTGCCCATGTTTACGTCGTGCGAACGTTGTTAATTGCGCCACCTATTGCTCGACATTTTCCAACACATTACAAAAACGTGACGTCACTATATAGTCATAGTCACTGAGCACGCTATTCAATTGACAAGCACAGTGCATAATGGAAAGTTTATTCAACCAGGAAAAAGTGTCTAAAAATTAAAATAGTACTCGCTATCACGGCATGTTGCCTACGTGTAGTTCTATAATATGCTTATTGGCACTGTGTTGTAAAAACTCCACGAAATGGCCAAATATATACCTCTTTTCGGAAATCGTTTGTCTATATAATGTTTGTCATCAACTTTATTATTTTATCAAAGTATTTTTATTCATATCTTATATTAAAAGATCATTCGCTGTCTGTCTGATGTCTGTCTGATGTCTGTCCGCCTGATGTTGGTCTGTGGTGTGTGGTGTCTGTCTGTCTGTCTGTCTGTCTGATGTCTGTGTGTTGCTTTTTTTTGTAAAAGGCCTATGAAGTGTGTGGAAACATAAATTGCTAAGGTTAAATGCAGAGGCTTAGTTATATCTAAAAGCCCAATGGATGTACATGTACATGTATATATGTATATGCTCCGATTTCACTGTCCTCTGAAGTCATGGTTGGCACGTGAAAAAAAATGATTGATATATTTCTTTTGGTTTTTTTTTACCAGTTTGTTTCTTTCAGACAACATTATCTCTATGAAAACATTCTAAAACGTATCGCTATTTCGCAAAACATAACGATTATGATGAAAATTGTGGCAAAATTGCTGTACAAGGCTTACCACGCCCACTTTGGGTCAACATTCAAATTGAGGTCGAAGTAAACATTCAAGCAGCTCTGATGAAGTATTTGAAAATTAAATGTGCTAGTTATGAAATGAAAAATGGAGTAATTCTTCACGGGATGATGAGATTTTCCCTTAAAGTCAGAACATTTCCTCAACGCCATCTTTGTGCGCTGCCTTGTGAGATTACTTTGTTAAGCAAGTTTTTTTTGAAGAAAATCTTCAGCAACAACAATGGAACAATTATCACAATGACGGTTCAATAATGCAAAACTCGTCAATGCTGGTACCTGTAGTATTAAAAGGAAATGGTATTTTACAGTTTTGGAAGCAGTGAGGTCATTATACCGTGAACTTCTCTTTCACCTGATGTATTGGTACTGGGATATCCAGCTATATAGGTTTTCGAACGCAATAATCGCTTTGAAAAGGTCTTTGAAAGAGACCAGCCAAGCCACAATCCTCTCAGGCGATATCAGGTTTAAAGAATCAAAACCAAAACGTATACTAGCATTGCACAAAGTGTAGATACTGGACCTGTGTGTTTAACCCGTTACAGCAGATCAGATTTATTGGATATTTATTTCCGCATGCAGTAATCATGGCGGCCTGTTCGCTACGATGGTGTCGTTTCCGCGCGTTGGTACTTCTGATTGCTGTGAAAACAGGTAATTAAAGTGTATAATTGTTTGATGATGGTTTAATTGTCGTTCCCGTTCATTCCACCACAATTCAGTGATGGAGTTATTTTTACTCTGCGAAATAAATGATGAAGAACAAAAAATCAGGACGTGATATGTTTAGTTTGAATTATTGATTTCCAAACCACTTCATACAGGCATATACTATATGCAGATTTTTGCAGACTATATGCAGAGATATTGATGCGAATTGACCTCATTCTCAGCTATTATTTCATCCAGTGATTTTATTTATGTATTTCATGATGTTAGCAGGTTGTATTCTGTACGGATTTTTTTTAGAGGAAAATAATCTTTCTTTCTTTTTTGTTATAGACATGATCATAAAGTTTACAATAATTTAACCTTTCCAAGCACATTCATTCTGCTAAAAAAAAATCGAAACTCAAGAAGATTAAATTTTACAGTGATAACATTAACACAACAAAGTACCAAAATGTGGGTGGATTTGATTTGGCTTGCTTAACATTTTTTAAAAGAACTTGTTGCTTTCAGCAACTACAAACAAATGTTTCCATTTTTTGTCGATGAAAAACTATTCCTTTTGTATTTTAAACTAAAGCACTGTCCCTGGATGTGCGAGGGAAACCTGCCGAACAGAGCTCCACTGCTCCGGAGGAAAACGGCCTTAGTTTTGAGGCAGGGAAGGCTGTGGATGGAGACTTTCACAGTTCTTCTAAAACGGGTGAGATAATCGCTTCACATTGTACACAAGCAATGTTGTGGTCGGGTCCATCACAGGTCCGTTCAAAAGTAACTGGCAAGTACAGTGAGAAATTACAGAGTCAAAAACGATAGCAATATTAATGGGTGTTCATGTGTTACAATTCGAATCCTGTGACTAGGAGACTGTGGTGGCTTTCCTGACAAATGACAGAAACATTGGGACGGTTCGTTCATAACCTCTGTTTCATATCTGTGCAGCGGAAATGCTCAATCCGTGGTGGCGATTGGACTTGGAGGCTGTTTACTGCTTGAGGAAAATTACTATCATCAAGGGTAAGAATCTGCCCACCGGTAACCCATAGAATCTTTCTCGTATTTTTTAAAGATGATTGTTGCACTTGTTGAATTCCTACTGGCAAGCTTGTCAGATGTCATAATGTCTGCTAGAACGTCAAAAGCTAGCACAGATCTGAAGAAAACCGTGGCCAATCAACGGACGTCTTATATTTCCGTCTTGGTATGCTGATCACGTGTCGTGGTGTCCACTCCCATCAGATCTTCCTTACTTATTATGTATCATCCAATAGCATATAACCTTTAACTTTTATGTATACCGTAATGATATTTCAATGTATATTTTATAGTGATTCTGTGTACAGTTGGGAGCCTCAATCTGACACAATTCATTACTTGAATTTATATTAATCCCAAGTTTTGGACTTGGGATATTTTATGGTGATTCTGTGTAATCCCAAGTCCAAAACGTTAAGCTGCAGTGGTATCATAATGTGCGTGTTGTTAAAACGCAGGAGTCGGTTTGAACGGCGCTGAAGTACGTGCTGGGTTGAGTCCAGATCGTTTACCCAACACATTGATAGGAACAGTCGGCGGACAGCAAGTTACCACCATAACAGCTGACCCTGTGGTCACTGCTCGCTATGTGAGCATAGACCTCCCCGGCGACAATAAAATCATTAACATGGCGGAAGTCACGGTTGAAAAATTCGTGGATGAAGAAGCTCTCGCCTCAACTTGTGAGTAATGTTTTTAAGTATCATATGATGGTGGTTTAGAAATGAATAATTAGAAAAAAAATACTAAATTTAATATGGGAAAGTTGTGAAATAAAGAAAATCCTTTGAAGTCATTAGGTTTTTCCCGTATTTTTCAAAGCAATTTCTGTAGATGGAAGCTGGACTTCTCAAAGCAGCACATTCGATAGCAGGGTTTCTGCTCAAGCGGTTGACAGAGCTTTCATCTACGATGATGTTAACAATCATTGCACCACCACAGGTCAGGCCTCATTAATTTAATACATACTGATAAACTACCAAACAATGCCATAATACACCTCGAAATTACCTTTGACCTGTGTATTCAATTATTGCTTCTGATGACTTTTTCCAGAAAAGCTTATGTAAGCCTACTTAATGTACACAGACAATACATTGAGGTACCCTCATAATAGTAAGGCTAAGTAATGAAAACAGTTTCTCATCCAGACTTCTTGATGGAAGATGGCGGATTTTTCAAAATGGCGGATGGATTCTACTGCAAAAAAGGACTCAATATATTGCAAAAAAGGAGACGGTGGGTAAAAAAGGAAGCTTTTAATTTTTAACTGTCATCTATTTTAAGTGATTTTAAACTTATCAAGTACACTACCTTGACTCAAAAACATAAGCCTACTTTGTTAACAGATGGACCGCCATCATGGTGGAAACTTGACCTAATGTCTGCTCATTGTGTCGGCAAGGTGACAGTCAAGAGCACCGATTTACAAGATGGTGAGTTGACTTTCCAACTACACTGACAGGAGATGACAAAAATAAAAATTTGGAAACAATAACCAAGGAGGCCTGGGTGAAGCAATCTTTCTGAAGAATTTCATTACATTCTGTTAACAGATTTCGGAATTTAATTTAGTGATCGAAGTACTTCACATACCGTCATTTCTTTGTTCAGCTTCAGAAAATCTTGCTGACAATGCTACACATATATATATTTTTTTTCTATTTTTGATAATTAGTGGGTATAAGGCTATGGTTTGCGAATGCTGCTGTTCGAGCTGGTATGAGCAGTGTGCCTACCGAGAACACAATGTGTGGAAGTGCAGTCTCCACATACCAAGCCGTAGCCAATAACTGGATGGAGTTTGACTGCAATCCACCTGATGGACTGACTGCTCGATACGTCAGCGTCGATAGTCCAGGACTCCGGTTCCTTTTCCTGTGTGAAGTCTTAGTATTTCCATGCAGACCTAACCTTCCAGCAGGTAATTATGGTCTAACAAGCTGGGAGAAAGTTTGATAAAAAAAAATATATATCATTACTTCGCAAGAATGACATTTCGTGAAGGCAAATAAGCTTTCCAGATAAATAGCATTGGACTAGATTTTCCCAACAAAGTGCTCTTATATTAAAAAGTGTACCAGCCGTCGCTAATCCATTACCAAAAACGGTACACGGCGCAATAAGTAGAATCGAGGTAGTGATGTCTTTTGATCGCAATGAAGACGTAAACTGCACGTTTCTGGCAATGCTACTGCTCATTTTGTGCAAATGCGTCAACTCCTATTATGCAAATAGATTTAATTAAACTTTTTATCCGAGCAATCCTTTTTTTATTTGGGTCCGAAATAGTTTCTAACAGCATATTGAAAAAAATAAAATTCCATTCTCAGTGGATTTTACTTTCGTCGCTAATCCTGCTCTCATCGACTCGACTGGTGGCAACGATGTCGTCCTGACAGCATACAAAGGTCCCGATGACATACCTGCTGGTGTCTCATTTGGCCGGCAGATGGCAACAGGTGGAATGGATGGACTTCCTCCCGGATCAACCGAAGAAGGCGAGCCGCCTTTGGGATGCGAAGCGGTATCTTTACGGTTACCTGCGGCGGATGGGATTAGCAGAGTTGGTGTCTTCTATTTTGAAGGAAGTAGAGGAAGCACCAACACCAGGATTCAGATCGTTATGCTGCCAAAAGGTGGTAAGACAACATTCCTGTTCGATTGAGATCACAGTCCATTTTACTGCTGAAATATACAGCAAGAGCAAAGTCGGCAAACCAAATTGAAGAACACCACATGGCTTTTTTTCTAAAAACGTTCACCAGTTGGGAATAAATATCCGGTTTGGATTCCATCATCTAGATATGCAGAGATGATAAAACAAAAAAAAGATCCTGAACAACATAATTTTAAATTCTTGTGGTAGATTCGACCAGACCGACAGTGGACTGGTTGAAATAGGAGGACAAAAAATTAAATACCTTTCCAACACCCAATGAAAGGGGAAGGTAACAAAGTCAGATACTGCAGTTTGTTTGTATTTGTTTTGCACTCAGATAATGTACACATACGTCCAGTTCAGCGAACGCAGATAGTAAATGTCGGAGACTCGATTCAACTTGAGATGCGAGATGTGAATGCACCAAACACGAACTACAGATGGCGGCATAATGGCGGTGTCGTCGTCACATCGTGGAATGACCAGCTCAGTGTGTCTATTGATGATGTTGCTGTGAGTGATGGAGGAGTCTACAGCTGCTTCGTATCTGACCAGGAGAATCAACAACTGCATGGGATCATGAGACTCATTGTGCGAGGTATGTTTGTAAACGAGTGTTTCACGAAGTATGCGTTTTTGGAAACCGCGTCCTTGTTTGCAATATTTTGTTCATTATGTTGCCATGCACATACAGCACATACAAACAAATGCATTTACCTTCATTGAGAAATGAGGATTACGACATATGAATTAGGATCAAGTTCCATTTTGAACTAAGATCTCAAACAAATGTCCTTGTCAACACTTAGGTTGTTCTGATGGAAAATGGGGGCCACCATCCTGCCTGAACCTTTGTCGACGGTGTTACAACGGAGGCATATGTGATGACATCACAGGAAACTGTGTCTGTGCTCCGGGTTTCAGTGGTGAATACTGCGAACAAGGTGCTGCTTTATAATACATTCATTTTTTTTGTTTGTTTTAATAGCACAAACTATAGCTTCAAACAAAAGCTGTTGGTACAACAGCGAGGTAGCGATTCAGTGACTCGCGTGGAATGTCTTTATTGGCTGAGCTATGTGGCGGAAAGCCGTAAGTCTGGCGAATACAGGAGAAATAAGCTATGACACACCATTTCACGTGTGACATTTCCGAAGCAACAACCATGAAAAGAAACTTATTTAATCATTAAATCTATCGACTGGGCTATTTTGGGAGTCGTCTGGTTCACATTTTGTCTCTATAGGCAAGTAACCTAGTTCATGCTGTATAGAAATCTAATTTTTAAATGATGTTGTTTTATGTACCTTCATGCACACAGTTCATGGCCGTTATGTCTTTGGCCAATCAGCTCGTCATAACTGCTCCAATACCAGCGATCCACACGACGACGCTTGCCGGGGTCGTTTGTTTTGTCTTCCTGATCCTTACGGATGCTCGTGTGCTGCAGGATTCAAAGGACTAGACTGTATGCAAGGTTAACAAGAATAGTTCTCTTTCCCGATGGTGGCAAGGGTGAATTCAGAATTATTTGTAGATTGGGTCTCTATTCTTCTGGTATGTGTAGTAGTGTGTTGATCTTAAATAGTGCAAATATTCCTATATGAACATCGATATAAGTTGGATGTTTCGAGGGTTTTGTTTATTTTGTTTGTTTTTTTGTTTATTTTTTATTATACAGTGCTTCGTTAAAGAAATGTATCCTTATTTTTTTTTTTACAATCATCAGACTGCTCTGAGGGGAAGTATGGAGCGGACTGTAAGCAGACATGTCACTGTGCACATGGAGACACCTGCAGTAAGGATACAGGAGAATGTAGCAGTGGCGTTTGTGACTTTTCATACTTCGGAATCAACTGTCAGTGCACAAGTAAGTGGAACAAACAACACGCACCAAACTGAGGTCATGTTAATTCTTATTTTAACTGGGTAGCCCATTCACTGAAATATATTGATCCTCCATGGGCCGCAGTAAAGAGAAAGCAGTGTAAAGAAATTACAGTTTAAGATTTGCGATGAAAACCCCAGAAGAAGGATATCTGAGGAAAACCCAGGCAGGGACTGAAAACCCAATACACCTATTGCCCAATGCAGGTATTAAACCGTTACACATCTATGTTGCGACACACGTATGTACCGATACCAGTATGTTTCGACTGCACATTCCTACCCCTACCAAGGGCGGATCCAGAACACAATTTTGGGGGGGACCAAAAAAAAATTTGGCCCCCCCAAAAAAAGTGGGTCTCAAAAATTACGGCGTGGGGTTCGGGGCCCGTGAGGGCCCCGAAAAATTTTTGGATTCTAGATGCTCTGTGGTGCGATCTGAGGCAATTTCTGACCACTTTAACCAATTTTTTTTGAGGAAAAGATGGTGGTGTACTCATTGCCTGCCTTTATTGCGATGTCACATTAAAAAAAAAAAAAATTGGTTTCGTTTTTGGGGGGGGCCATGGCCCCCTTTGGCCCCCCCCTGGATCCGCCCTTGACCCCTACCCCTAACCCCAAGCCTAACCCTTACCGGGAGTAACACAGTCTTATGTGCGGGTGTCAGAACATAGGGGTGTCGGAACATACAGCAGTCACCATCGAACCCAGGTCGCAGCAGTAGAAGGCGAGGAAAGTACCGCTACGCCAACCTGACTCCCCTGACAAGTACTTCACACATAGCAGACCTCGTGGCCAAAACATTATGGATCCCCCCTTTTGTTATGTTTCAGATCGTCCAGTGGAGTTGACACCGACCTCCATCTTGCAGCGCAGCCTCAGTTTTTCCTGGCGAAGTCCACTCTGTCCAAACTTTGGCACGATCACCGGGTTCGTCTATACGCTGACCGACGTTAAATCTGGACCTGTGCCGCCAGTTTTCAATACAACAGAGAACTCAGTTACCATCGATGGATTGATGCCTCACACGGTGTATAGCTTTCAAGTTGCAGCCATAACGACTGTAGGAAGAGGAATGTACAGTGAACCTCTCATTGTAACCACAATGGAGGCAGGTAGGCCTACGATTTAATTAAAAGAAATATGCTAAGTTTAGGGGTTTTTTTACGAATGCCAAAATGGTACGAATGCTTTTTTTGTTACTTCACAGAGCCATCAGCGCCCCCACATGTCAACATTCAGAACAGTGATGATGTTTCAATCACAATCACGTGGTCACCACCCAACTCACCGAATGGTATCATCACCAACTATGACATTACTTACTGGAAGTCGGTTGACGCCGGGACACAAACTCTGAGAAATAACGTTGGTGTGTCGCCGCTCGTGTACCACGTGGATGGTCTGGAAATGTCCACTATGTACTACATACAAGTATGTGACATTCTCACCCACGTTTGTGAGGATCGAGACAAATAGCCGCAGAAATACGTTCAGTAACTTTGAATTCACTATAGGCATACATCGCCGAAAAAGCAGCTATAACAATTAACGACGAATATCGTTGTTCTAATCATTTCAGGTTCGGGCCAAGACCTCTGCAGGTGCAGGTCCGTGGAGCGACACAGCCACTGCATCCACACAAAATGGTAGGGTGATCTCCAATTAACTTAATTATTATTATTCATGATAAAAGTCTGTACAAACATTTTACAAAAATCACAAAGTCACAAAATCACATTTTTCATTGCGAAGAACACACACCAGCAGTAGAGGAAAGTTTGCTGGAGAAATAAGCTTTAATAAGAAAGACATGGATTGTCATGTATACCTACAGTCTCTGTAGGTTTTTTTACGCGTAGTTACTGAACACTCAGTAAAAGTTTTGAAAATGTGAATTCTGTATTGTATCAAGAGAGTCATTCAAAAAGTAACCATTGTACTTCACTTAAAACTCAAAATCTTCAAATCTACTACTTCTGTATTATAACATTTATTACTCTCGGGGCCAATGTGAGATTGTCGGATACGCTTGGTGTCACGGCTGGGTTTTGTAAAATGTAATATTTGCATTTGTTCTGTATACTCTTTAAAAAAAAAACTCTATAATGTTTATTCAACTGAAAAGTAATCACCAAATACTTTTATCTGTAACAATTAGCAGGTACGACCGATACACAGATAAATAGACCGAACGTAGCAGCTATCGTTCTCGGGGTCCTGTTAGCTATTGCTATTGCTGCCATCATCATCGGCTGTGTGGTGTGTAGGAAACGAGATCGAGACCGCAACAGTGCTCCAAATACATCGAGGCTGAACGTCACTGACAAACATGTAAATCTTTGTTTTAGTCAAAAAAAGGTTGTTAGTGTGTTTGGTACTCATTTTCGGTACAAAGAAAAATACCAAAAGCTATTCAGAATTCATGAAAAACAAAATAAAAACTAAGTTTCGACAGGTAGACAGTCGCTACTCATCTTCCTGGTCTGGAATAGTAACACAAATGTCTTCGCTTCACTTACCATTCAGAAGATAAATATTTTTTTTGTCCTGGTAATATTAGGAGCTTCCTGTTGTGAGAAATGCTAGCATGCATGGCATTCAGTCTCCGATCTCAGACGATATTGAAAGGGACATCTACGAAGACGTTGGCTTACCAGTCTGGGCTAAGGGACTGGAAATCCAATGGAGGAATCTCACGATTGAGGATAAGGTACTCGGCAAGGGAAACTTTGGAGAAGTGAGAGCAGGCAGTCTCAAGATACGAGGGGAAGTGTCCAAAGTGGCCATTAAAACTCTCAAAGGTAAATACAAATCGATGTCAGGCCGATAACACCGTCACCTTACTTGGTTGTAATCGATGCTTATTTTGATCACGCCATATTTGATTTGTAGACCATATGTTTCGTTGGATAGCAAAACAGAGTATGAATCAACATTTTCTTTTATTTTTATCCTTACAGGTGCAACTACAACTGCTTCCGAGGACTTCCTGGTCGAGTTCAAGACAATGGCTCGAATCAAGCCACACCCGAACGTAGTTGGTCTAATGGGCGCGTGTATGCACGAAGGTATACCTATCGAATCAATCATACAAAAACTGTCAATATCATTGAACGATAACTCTTTAAAAAAAAATGCGTTCGGGAATTGTTTTTTTTGGGACTTTTCTCCAATAGATAAAGGAATGTTTTTTACTAGATTCTAATCGGTAGGAAGGATTGGAGTCTATTGGCAAACCAAACCACACATTAAGAACAAGATATACTTTACACGCTAACTTTAAACTTTTCACGCAACTGTTATTTTAAACGTTAAACCCTACAGTTCTTTTATTGCACCGAAATTTAAAATTTGATATTTAATGCTCCGTCTGATTATAAACATTCGGATTTCTTTCTTTATTCCAGCCATTTTGTACGTCGCTCTTGAATATCTCCCCAACGGCAACCTGCGTGACTACCTGAGGAGTACTCGCCCCAAGCAGCAGGGGGCAATGAAGTCGGACGATGGTGTATCCCCACTGACTTCCTCCAACTTACTGACATTTGCAATAGATATAGCCAGTGGAATGGATCACCTTTCCGACACTGGGGTAAGAACTTGTAATGGAATTTAAATAAATCCCTACAAACTTCGGTTTAGGTGTAACAAGTTTCAAGTGTGCAGCTATTAATTCTTACGGATTGAAAACTATCATAGGCTCCGTGGTCCAATGGCTACGCACAGGTCCCACACGTGTGTCTTGATAAAGGAGTTCAGGATACTTTATCTTCCTTTCTCGACCAAGGAGTATGAATGGGCCCATTTGACAGTACAAAAACAGATTGCAGAGATCTGTTACTGTCGCGTACAGCTGTTCCGATGGCATGAGCCGTGAAGATCAATTGTGTAATTATTATCGTTAACAATAAATATGTTTCTATAACATAGATAATTCACCGAGACTTGGCTGCAAGAAACATACTTCTCGGAGAAGACTTGACTGCCAAGATTTCTGATTTCGGATTATCACGGGGAGAGGACATCTACGTTCAGAAATCGCAGGTACATCTGTCACTTTCTCAAAACTTAATGCTGTCAGTAGAAAAGCTAATGAAGTGCACAGGTGCAGAATTAAAACAGGTGAAATGTTAACACTTATCTTCTTGTGAAGTTCACTCTTTAAACAAAGTTTACAATAGCACTCGAAAAGCACCAAAAAACAAACAATGAATACTGCACACGTGGAGTAAGATTTTGTGTAGTTTGTGAAGATTTTTGAATCTCAATGTATGTTGATTTCTATTAAATGCAGATTTTAATTTACTTTCTTTATTTTATCTATTTTGTTGTGCAACTGTACTGTCTTAGACTCGTGTTCCTTTCCGCTGGTTGGCCATCGAGTCTTTGACCCGCCGGGTGTACAAGTCTAAGAGTGATGTGTAAGTATCATCAAAACGTTATACGACTTTCAGATCATTAGACATCCCAGCAAATTTCTAGTAAATATGTTAATTTTCCTTCCAAGTGAAAATTATGAGTCGTTTTTCATCCCCGAGTCGTTTTGGTGATCTTGTTCCAGATGGTCATTCGGGATCGTACTGTGGGAGATAGCAACATTTGGTAAGTAACTTAATTTGTGTTTGTTTATCTTTATTGTAAAGAATTTGAAACAAAAGATAACTTGGCTGTGTTAATTTTGCGATTGGTTATTATTTTGGAGGTAGGCTGTCAGAAAAAAATGTGATGAAGTGTTGAATTCTTTATTTTTAATTTACTTTTCTCTTTTCAATCTAGTCACCGTTTTTCAGTTCTACAAATTGTTTCTACTCTCAGCATAGCCTCATTTCATAATTAAAGACCACGGTAACCTCGGAGTTGTTATACTGGTATTGTTGTACGGAAGATTAAAGATGTTATTGTTTGAAGGATGATAATATTGTATTGATCGGTAATTGCAGGAGCGACGCCCTATCCGGGAATTCAGAGGTTGTTGTTGGCCAAACGATTGCAGGAAGGCTACCGAATGCCCAAGCCGGAAAACTGTGCCGATGAAATGTAATTAACCAAGAAAATTACCTTTTTCAAGGAGGGCGTAACATTTGACAAAAAATCAAAATAATTTGATTTCATTGTCTCTTTTAGTGTTGTCAAACTTCAGTGGACCAAAAACAAGACAAGGACAGTTTTGGCGTCGCACAAAGATTTCAACTATAATGACATCAACGCAATGCCAACCTGAATCGTCGGTAATCGTGGTTTTTGAAAATTGTGCTTGCCACCAATGGAGTCTGTAAAATCGTTAAGATGTCAATTGATGAAAACAAGTGTGCTTCAAAGTGACTAGGAATTTCACCTCTTACCACCGCACCTCCACAACACCCCTAGTAAGTTATCTTTGTTGCGTGTTTACTTTCTGTAGCTACGATCTGATGATGAAGTGTTGGCAGCCACACCCCAGTCATCGCCCAAGCTTCAAAGAAATCATGGCGACGCTCGAGAAAATGAACGACCCATCAGATGAGAACGTATGTGTACCGTACTTTTCCCCAATCTTTTTTTTCTTATATGTTTATCACAAACGTTTATTACATCATCTTATAGAAGTGTTTGATTGTTTGCCTATTCTCACTTACCTTTACGACGGTCTTTAAGCCATTCACAAAATTGTCTTTATTTGGCTCAAGGAAATATATTATTCAAATATCCATTTTGAAATTAATTACATTTTATAAATGTTTTTTAATGTTGATAAAAATGAAAGTTATAAAAATTTACATTTGGTAAACATTTCAGATCTACATGACAACTCGTTTCTACGTGAATCACGTGATCAAGCCAGAGTTTGACGATAACTAGAACAGCGGTGCAAGACTAATGAAGAAGCATCTTAAAGAGAACAGGACCTTTCGAGATATCTGGGAGATGCGACTCAAATATGATTGACTGATTATTCTGATTATTTTGTTTTGGGAGAGGCGCTTTGTAATTGACCCAATTGCTGTGCACTAGATACCTTTTATGTTTCATAATAAAATGTGTTCTTAAATACATGTACTTGAAAACAAGACTTACTTGTATTTCATTTGATCGTACATGTATATATATATTTTACTGTCATTGGATAAAATCAGAAACCCAGATACCACACAGTATGATATTAACTGTTATAGCACGTGCCGTGGTGATTATGTTAGCTGTTTTAGCTGTGTATGTATATTGATTATGGATGGTAAAGCTGTTGAATGCAGTAAACAATTCGTCACCGACATCACGAAGTAACACCCATCTACATACCAGTAAAAACTAGCAATCGGAGAAAACGGCAACTAAAGTTGAACGCCTTCTAAAACAACACTTTGCGTCAAAACGACAGAGTATTTTCAGTTGGGTTTCTCGTTGTGGACACTTGATGAATTTAAATTATTAAATCTGCTGTTTTTCACTCGTTTGTGTATTAAATAAACAAGAAATAAGAGAAAAAAGATGAGTGTTAGTTCGTGAAACCTAAAAAGCTGCGAAACTGTAAATTTTCGTTTTCACGAAGTAACACTCTTCAATGTATTTAACACGAGGAAAGTGCAACTTCAGGTTAGCGCGCGCGCGCTCATACAACCTGTTACAAGAAGAGTGTTACTTCGTGAAAACGTTTTTGCTCACTTATGAGCAGAGTGCGCGCCATGCATTGCAACGTAAAATGGAACTTGAGTTTTACTTCGTGAAAACGAAAATTGTCACTTTTGCGCAAAAGTTGCCATGGACACTTTAAAAGCGTAATTATTAAAGTAAAGCTCTTGAAGCTTTGAAACTTCGTGCAATGGTAGCCCTTGATGAATAATGTTTAAAAATTAAAAAAACTGAAAATCGAAAAAAATATGCTTGAACACGGTAGAGGGTTACTTCGTGGTGTCGGTGACGAATTGTTTGAAATGTATTGGGAATATTTTATGTTACTTTTTTGCAATTCCTATGTAGCAATTTAGCATACACCTTTAATTAATAATGATAATTTTATGTGTATAAATGCTTTATAAAATGTTCGATTACTTTAAACTGCTATGATTTTCTTATATTTAGATAAAGATATGATACTATCTGATGTACCTTGTTAGTCATGAAACATTTGTTATTCTCGAGTTTGGAATCTTTTCATAAATCGGATCATATCCAAGAAATCCTGTCTGTTTTCGATAAATGTAAACGTATACTCAGATAAACATATTTTGCGCATTATCCATGAAGATCAAATAAATGTTGAGGATAATTTTAATATAACAATAATCATTTATGAGAAAGATTGGGTAAGTTAGAAATTATATACACAGTAACTGAGCTTTGTAAAATTTACAATGTAAATTCTGAGCTTTCTGACTATATATGTACTTTAGATGTCTTTGCTTGTTTCAGCAGAGACGCTACAATACAGGGAAAGAAAGATCAATGTCAGAGTCTTTGTATTGATTTAAACAATGATCTTTCATATCCATGAGATATAAATGATAAGGTACCACCCATTCCCTGGGGCCTAAGTCGTACTAAAGTACAAGTCAATAATGTCCCATCAGGCCGGCGTTTATCTCCGGTTTCCTTAGTATGAAACGACTAAGAATATTTCATTTCCCCCAGGATGGGGTGGCAGTCCATCGCAGGTTACCCCCCTGCTATTGCTTGTACCCATATGATAATCCTGGGTGGAGAGGCAAGTGGGGTGATCTGGTTTGCACAGGGACACCACATAATGGCCAGCAGACCCTGTAATCATGATTCACAAACCTAAAAGCACAAGGCCACACTCTCCCTTAATATGATTTCATTTAGTATCCGAAGTCCAGAGACGATTTTTAAGTCGAAGAAAGCAAAAAAGCAGCAGCAGGAACGGATTTTTCTACATTCAGCTTCTGCATGTGAAACATGCGCAGTGCAACAAAAGGTTGAACTTTTGACACCAGAGCCCTACTGTACATATTTATATACACACATCTATTGACACAAAAGCAGTAGAAAAGGGGCCAATGAACTGCGCGAAGCAGGCATTATTCACGCGTTGGTTCAACAACTCCAAACTAAGTGTGTATCTCCGCACGTATTCATGGCGCCATTTAGTTTGTGCGCAGGCGCGAAATATTTCCGCTTTAACGTGAACTAAATTTGTGTGGTGCTATGGAAATAGTGAACATATGGTCAAATGTTTTCGTTTACGAATTTTGAGAAATGTACAAAGGGAGAATTGAATAGTTATTCATTAAATAAAAAGTTAGGAACTTTTTCAACTATTTTGAGGGTCAACACTTAAAAACAATTACTGTACACTCAATGAGAAATTACGGATTTAAATCGATCTCATTTTGAATTTTCAGTGATTCTTTAGGAAAAAAAACACAGTTTTGCCAAAGATATAATTTCCCTAATAATAAGGTATTGTGTATTTGTAGTTGATGAACCATTTAAACCTGTCGTCTGAGATTCAACTGATTTTGTGAAGGGTTGAATGTTTTTTTCCTGGTCTACTTGTTTGATGCATGTATTTTGTTATGTGTGGACTTTTTAAAGACCACCCTCTGTGAATATTCGATGACATTTTTTGTGTGTGTTAAATACCAGTAAAGGCTGCAGTGTCACAGCATCATGAGTGCATACAAATATTTAAAAATAGATGTCAATAGAACTCCGTATTGTTTCATTCGTAAAACTATAATCAATTTAGATTAATATATATTGCACTTTTCAGGAAATATTCGCAGTATTTGCAGCTTGCTGAATTTCCAGTTATTATTGTGTAAGTTGGCAAGAGAATATGTACTGGTTATGTCCAAAGTGATTATATTACACTTAGACAGTTGTACAGGTATTATTCATTAGCATTCAAGTGATGGATTGGGTCGCACAGCGGTGTACTGCACTTTGATGATCATGATGAAACAGTTTTAAGAGGAAAAGGTTGCAGACGTATTTCAATCCGCTTTGCGTTTACGTCTTGTACATCCCATCATGATGTATTCCCCAAGTGAGAACTTTTCATGAATTGTTCAAGCATTGAATGCGTTAATATTTGCCGTTTTAATTTAAGTAATTGATTCCTATAAACTTTCTGTGTCCAGTAGGTGCACGCGATAACACACAATTGCTTGTAATTCTCCTTACTAGCAGCAAATTCCAGTCCTACCTTTTCTAATTGGCGCCACATTTCCATTGTCTTGCAGGATCACTTTGCGATGTACTACGATGTATTCCAGGCTAACTTGGACTCGTCCATTGTCTACGAAAACCTGTAGAACAAAACAACGGTACATATCAGGTTTTCGATGATTGGACCTCTATTATACATTTTGATGTTTTCTATCGCTGGTGAAGTTTGTCGGAGGGGTTCGGGTGAGACATTCCAAAGAAATGTCCACCCTCAAGACCAAAGACCTTTTGAAGAGAGAGTGGTGGTTGTACCATTGTATAACGAAGGGGATGTATAACTTTCCCTATGTAAATTATCTATGTTTGTAGCTGCCTTTATTTAATTCAATACGGCAGACTTAGGGTTTATTTTTTTATGAGACAAAGGGCAGCTATTCTGCGGGTTTTTCTTTAATAGTTGATGTCGATGGCTTTGGTAAAGGGTCGTCGTGCAGACGGATGGTGTTTTGATGATCTTGTTTGTTTTTGTGTTTTGTATTGTAAAAGTGTTTTTATACTCAAGAAATATTGTAAAACTTTTTGGAATTATTCCAAAGAATTTCAACGGTAAATGTTTGTTTACAAATAAACAAATTTGTTTTTTACGCAAATATTATATTTAAAGAACTTTATATAAAGATTTTCGATGCCTTCAAAAATGCCTTACCAAAACGCGTACATTATTTTGATGTATTAATATATGTTTACGTACATGAATTTTCTTCATTAACTAAAATGTAGGCGTTATAATTCTACACTCTAAAATTCCTCTTCCTCTCTCAAAGCATTTAAAATGTGAGTATTTCCGAGTGAATGTTTACACAGAACTCCTTATAGAGAATTCAATTTTGATTGATTATTAAATTCCGATAAATGTATAATAACTGTTATAAAGGATTTTTTTTTGCACTAGTTTGTCCTTTCATTTCATTATCAGTAATGGGAAGATTCCTTCAATATTCATGTTATATCTAGTTAGTGCATATGATACTTATAGCTGTGGCGTAGCCACCTTGCCGGGGTGGCGGGTAATGGGGGTATCCCCACATATTTTTTCATGAGTGCCCCCTTATCAGGAGTGTCATTTTAATCACGAGCGCCGTGTTTTTTTTCCAGAGTGCCCATGTTTACGTCGTGCGAACGTTGTTAATTGCGCCACCTATTGCTCGACATTTTCCAACACATTACAAAAACGTGACGTCACTATATAGTCACAGTCACTGAGCACGCTATTCAATTGACAAGCACAGTGCATAATGGAAAGTTTATTCAACCAGGAAAAAGTGTCTAAAAATTAAAATAGTACTCGCTATCACGGCATGTTGCCTACGTGTAGTTCTATAATATGCTTATTGGCACTGTGTTGTAAAAACTCCACGAAATGGCCAAATATATACCCTTTTTCGGAAATCTTTTGTTCGTGATCACGCATAGACATGAACTGACTTGCTTCACAAGACTTTGGGTCCATATATAAATTGTCAACTTTATTATTTTATTACAGTAATTTTTTTATATCCTATATTAAAAGATCCTTCGCTGTCTGTTTGTTTGATGTCTGTCTGTCTCGCGGTTTGTCGGTCTGATGTCTGTGTGTCACTTGTTTTTGCAAACGACCTAAGAAGTTGTGTAGAAACATAAAAATGCAAGGGTAAATGAGGAGGCTTAGTTATTTTATAGCTCAATGGTTGTATATATGTATATGTTCCGATTTCACTGTCCTCTGAATTCACATTAGGCACGAGAAAAAATGATTGATTTATTTGTTTAACAAATTTGTTTCTTCCAGACTTGAATAGTTATAATATTACAACATTATCTCTATGCAAAACATAACATGGATGATGAAATATGTTTCAAAATGGCTTCACAAGGCTTACCACGCCCACCTGGGGTCAACATGCAAATTGAGGTCAAAGTAAACATTCAAACAGCTCGGATGAAGTATACATATTTGCAAGTGATATGATTTACACCAATACAGTCCAATGAAAAATAGAGGAATTCTTCACGGTCATCAAACAAATCATGATGACATTTCCCCTCAAAGTCGGACCACTTCCTCAATGCCATCTTTGTGAGATTACCTTATCATTCAAGCACGTTTTGAAGAAAATAGTGGTTTTATTATCAGAAACAACAATGGGAAAATTATCACATGACGGTTTCATACTGCAAAACTTGTCAATGCTGGTAACTGTATAAGAAATGGTATTCCACAGTGTTGGGAGCAACGAAGTCACTGTACCGTGAAGTTCTCTATGACGTAGTGTATTGGTGAAGCCAGGTCAGCCGGGCTATTCCCCTTTAGCGATTATTCAAAAATGCAAAACAGTAATGTATTCAATGCTCAGCACGAAGTGTATGGGTACAGGTTGTCAGTGTGGGTGCAGCAGATCAGATTTATTGGATATTTATTTCCGCATGCAGTAATCATGGCGGCCTGTTTGCTACGATGGTGTCGTTTCTGCGCGTTGGTACTTCTGATTGTTGTCAACACAGGTAATTGAAGTGTATAATTGTTTGATGATGGTTTGTCGTACCCGTTCATTCCACAGCAATTCAGTGATGAAGTTATTGTACTCTGCGAAAAAAATAATGAAGAACAAAATATCGGGACGTGATATGTTTAGTTTGAATTATTGATTTCCTAACCACTTTACACAGGCATATATATCCTATATGCAGATTTTGGCATGTTGATGCGAATTGACCTCATTCTCAGCTATTATTTTATCCAGTGATTTTATTTATGTATTTCATGATGGTTATTAGCAGGTTGTATTCTGTACGAATTATTTTAGAGGAAAATAATCTTTCTTTTTTTATAGACACGATCAAAAAGTTTACAATAATTTAACCTTGCCAACCACATTCATTCTGCAAAAAAAATCGAAACTCAAGAAGAGTAAATTATACAGCGATAACACAACAAAGTACCAAAATGCGGGTGGATTTGATTTGGCTTGCTTAACATTTTTTAAAAGACTTGTTGCTTTCAGCAACTACAAAAAAATGTTTCCATTTTTTGTCGTTGAAAAACTATTCCTTTTGTATTTTAAACTGAAGCACTGTCCCTGGATGTGCGAAGGAAACCTGCCGAACAGAGCTCAACTGCTCCGGATGACAACGGCCTTAGTTTTGAGGCAGGGAAGGCTGTGGATGGAAACATTACTATATTTTCTAAAACAGGTGAGATGATCGCTTCACATTGTAGACAAGCAATGTTGTGGTCGGGTCCATCACTGGTCCGTTCAAAAGTAAATCACAATCACGGTAAGAAATTACAGAGACAAAAACGATAGCAATAATTAATGGGTGTTCATGCGTTACAATTCAAATCTTGTGACTAGGAGACTGTGGTGGCTTTCCTGACAAATGACAGAAACATTGAGACGGTTCGTTCATAACCTCTGTTTCATATCTGTGCAGCGGCAATGCTCAATCCGTGGTGGCGATTGGACTTGGAGGCTGTCTACTGCTTGAAGACAATTACTATCATCGAGGGTAAGAATCTGCCCACTCAAAACCCATAGAATATCATTCGCATTTTTGAAAAATGATTTTTGTACTTGTTGAATTGCTGCTGGCAAGTTTGTTAGATGCCAGAACCTCTGCCCACCCGTAACCCACAGAATGTTTGTCGTATGTTTGTTCTTGTTGAATTACTATTGGTAAACTTGTCAGATGCCATAATGTCTGCCAGAACTTTAAACGATAGAACAGATTTGAAGATAACCATGGCAAATCAATTATCTCCGTCTTTGGTAGGGTGATCACTTGTCGTGGTGTTCATTTCTACTAGATTTTCTTACTTAATGCACATCCGTCATCCAATATCACTTGACAGTTAACTTTTATATACCGTATTTTATTAGAGGATTATACACAGAGCAAATACATTGCGTTATACGTTACTCAGGATACCAGCCCTTTCATAGATAAAATTATTACATGTATTTGAATATATATTTAATAGTGATTTTGTGAACAGTTGGAAGCCCCTATCTGACAAAATTCATTATTTGAAATTATATAAAGCCCAGTTCTGACAAAATTCATTATTTGAAATATAAAGCACAGTTCCAAAATTATATAAAGCCCAGTTCCAAAACATTCAACTGCAGTGGTATCATAATGTGCGTGTTGTTAAAACGCAGGAGTCGGTTTGAACGGCGCTGAAGTACGTGCTGGGTTGAGTCCAGATCGTTCACCCAACACAATGATAGGAACAGTCGGCGTACACCAAGTTACCATCATAACAGCTGACCCTGTGGTCACTGCTCGCTATGTGAGCGTAGACCTTCCCGGTGACAATAAAATCATTAACATGGCGGAAGTCACGGTTGAAGAATTCGTGGATGAAGAAGCTCTCACCTCAACTAGTGAGTAATGTTTTTAAGTATCATTCTATCACACTGGGGTGGTTTAGAAATGAATAATAAAACACAATACATGTACTCAGTTAAGTGTAAAGATCGAAGTTGGGTTTCGCTGTAATGTAAGGGGGAAGATTAATATGGGAAAATCGTAAAATTAAGATAATCCTTCGAAGTCATTTGGTTTTTCCTGTATTTTTGTAGCAATTTATGTGGATGGAAGCTGGACTTCTCAGAGCGGCACATTCAACGGCAGGGTTTCTCCTCAAGCGGTCGACAGAGCTTTCAACTACGATGATCTAGACAGGCATTGCAGCCTCACAAGTAAGGCCCAAGAAAAGTCTCCGGTTTCTGGTATGCGCGCGCGTCGCCGTAGCCATGCTCGTCGGCAAAATGAAAAAGTTTTTTTTTCAATGAAAGATGATGTCTCAAAACCGCCAAACTCACTGGTTTGACTGGAATCCCGCTACTGCACAATTTTAACGTGTTTTTAGATGGGGTTATGATCGAGAATAAGCTTTATGTGGCCTCTCTGGACTCCCATATATTTGCACTAAGTTTAGTCGGGCACCATTTGCAGTCATCAGCCGACATTTGAAGCAAAAAAGTCAGGTAAAAAGAAAAAAGCCGCGTCGCCGCACCACTTTTTGGACAAGCTCCATACCAGAAACCGAAAACTTATTTTTTTTGGCCTAAGGCCTCATTAATTTAATACACTTTGATATACTACCAAACAATGCCATGTACACTTTGAAATTACTTTGACCTGTGTGTTCCATGATAACATCTGAGGACTTTTTCCTGAAAACAAATTATGTAAGCCTGCTTTATGTACACAGTCAATAATTACCCAAATTACAGTTAGTAATACAAAAAGTTTATCATCCGGATTTTTTTTAAAGAAAAGGAAGAAGGCGGCCCATTTTGTTCCAAAGGTGGCGGATTTTCCTATATGGCGGGTGGATTTTGCTGCCCCCCAAAAAAGACTAAATATATTACCAAAAAGGAGGCGGTTGGGGAAAAACGGAGCGTTTATTTTTCAACTGTCGTCTACTTTGAATACATTTTAGTGTATTAAGTACAGCTACCTTGTCTCAAAATCATGAGCCTACTTTGTTAACAGATGCAGTGCCATCGTGGTGGAAACTTGACCTGATGTCTGCTCAATGTGTCGGCAAGGTGACAGTCAAGAGCACTGATTATCATGAGCGTGAGTTGATTCTCCATCTACATAGACGGGAGATGGCAAAATACAAATTGGGAAACAAAAACATTGGAGGCCTGCGTGAAGCACTCCTTGTACCATGCGCGGTTCTAGAACCAATATTTTGGGGGGGCTAGCAGGGTGGATCCAGAATTTTTTTCAGGGAGGCGTGCTGAAATGTAGACCGATTATTTTCTCCAGAAACAATAGGTGGGGGGGGGGGGCCTCATGCCATATTTTCAATGGGGAGCGCCAATAAAATCCTAAAATCATTCACACTATATTAACTACAAATGCACCCTTGTCACGACTATTTCTTTAGGGGGAGACCGTTCGCATGTACATCACAATCCTTCTTTTGCTAATGCCCTTTTTTTTTTACGAAATTTATTTTGGAGGGGGCTAGACAAAATTTTGGGGGACTGAAGCCCCCCCCCCCCCTGCGCCTGCTTTGTACGGAATTTTAATCAAATTCTGTAAACACATTTTGGAATTTAATTTAGTGATCGAAGTACTTCACAAACCGTCATTTCTTTGCACAACTTCAGAAATTCTTGCTGACAATGTTACACATTTTCTTCTATTTTTGATAATTAGTGAATATAAGGCTATTTATGGAGGATGCTGTTGTTCGAGCTGGTATGAGCAGTGTGCCCACAGAGAACACAATGTGTGGAAGTCCAGTCTCCACATATCAAGCCGTAGCCAATAACTGGATGGAGTTTGACTGCAATCCACCTGATGGACTGACTGCTCGATACGTCAGCGTCGATGATCCACAAACAAGGTTCCTTTTCCTGTGTGAAGTCTTAGTGTTTCCATGCAGGCCTAACCTTCCAGCAGGTGATTATGTTCTAAAAAGCTGAAAGAACATTTTATTTAAACCAAAAAAAAATCATTACTCTTCAAGAATGACATTTCGTGAAAGCAAATAAGCTATCAAGATGAATGGCAGTGGGCTAGTCTTTTTTATTACAGTTTGCTCTAATATTAAAAAGTAAACCAACCGTCGCTTATCCATTTCCAAAAATGGTATATAAGGCGCAAAAATTAGAGTCCAGGAGTGATATCTTTTGATCGCAATGAAGACACTTTTCTGTCAATGGTGCTGCTCATCTCTCCAGAAGTGACAACTCATATTATGCAAATCGATTTTAAATTCAATTTTTTATCTTAACAATTTTATTTCTATATGGGTCCAAATAAGTTTCTAACAGCACATTGTAAACATTATTTCAATTCTCTGTAGATTTTACTTTCGTCGCTAATCCTGCTCTCATCGACTCGGCTGGAGGCAACGATGTCGTCCTGACAGCATACAAAGGTCCCGATGACATACCTGCTGGTGTCACATTTGGCCGTCAGTTGGCAACAGGTGGGACGGATGAACTTCCTCCCGGATCAACCGAAGAAGGCGAGCCGCCTTTGGGATGTAAAGAGAGATCTCTACGGTTACCAGCGGCGGATGGGATTAGCAGAGTTGGTGTCTTCTATTTTGAAGGAACTAGAGGAAGCACCAACACCAGGATTCAGATCGTAATGCTGCCGAAAGGTGGTAAGATAACATTCCTGTTCGATTGAGATCACAGTCCATTTTACTCTTGGAATAGACAGCAAAAGCAAAACAAGTTGAAGAACACCACATGACCTATTTTTTTGGGCAAAACATTCTCCACTTTAGAATTTATAACCGGTTTTAATTCCGATATCTAGTTATGCAGAGGTTGTACAAAAAAACTCCTGAGCAAGATAATTTTAAATATTAGTGGTAGATCCGACAAGACCGACAATGGACTGGTTGAAATAGGAGGACAAAAATAAAATACCTTTCCAACACCCAATTAAAGGGGAGGGTAACAAAGACACTGTAAAATATGCTGCAGGTTGTCTCTATTTGTTTTTAAATTCAGATATTGTTCAGATACGTCCAGTTCAGCGAACGCAGATAGCAAACCTCGGAGACTCAGTTCGACTGGAGATGCGAAATGTGAATGCACCAAACACCGACTACAGATGGCGGCATAATGGAGGTGACGTCATCACATCTTGGAATGACCAGCTCAGTGTGTCTATAGATAATGTTGCTGTGAGTGTTGGAGGAGTCTACAGTTGCTTCGTATCTGGCCAGGAAGATCAACAACTGCATGGCATCATGAGGCTCATTGTACGAGGTATGACCATATAAGAGACCAGCGCAGAAGTTGATAATTTATGTGGAAACTTGAACTTTACATTAATATTGTACTTTTCATTTTGCAATTGGATTGGATACATATCAGGCTGTTCTGAGGGCATGTGGGGTCCACCTTTGTGCCTAAACTCCTGTCGTCGATGTTATAATGGAGGTATATGTGAGGAGGAGACGGGACGTTGTGTCTGCGCTCCGGGGTTCAGTGGACAACATTGTCAGTACGGTAAGGGATAAGGCTTCCACGACTGCACCTTTCAATACACGCATATCGAAGTGACACAATGTAACTATCACCATTCAGGCTGAGACAAAAAAATACACGCGTATCACAAAAAAGGTAAGTGTTCTTTTAGCAAAACGAAAACAATTTACATGTATCCCTATATGTAAATTGTTTCGTTATCCGTGGACAGAAGTTTAAAACTTTTTTTTTTTTAATTCCGTAACTTAAAAAGTAGTACCCTTATCCTAGATTTTGAAAAAGATACATGTAGAACGTCACCGAAAAAATGGTCCCGACATTTGGGTTTCGGTTTTTTAACTCAGCCTGCAGTTCATGAGAATTGTTTAATAAAACTATTTTACGAGATTTGTTTAATGAAAGTATATTTCATATACTCTTTGCTCTACAGTTCATGGCCGTAATGTCTTTGGCCAGAACGCTCGTCATAATTGCTCCAATACCAGCGATCCTCACAATGATGCCTGTCGTGGTCGTTTGTTTTGTCTTCCTGATCCTTATGGATGCTCGTGTGCTGCAGGATTCACTGGACTAGACTGCATGCAAGGTGAACAAGATTATTTCTCATTCCTAATGACGCACTGGTCACAAGGGTGATTTCATACTCTTTTTAAGGCTTGGTCATGTATACCTCTTGAGCTATTCACCCAGGTTGGGTCGTTGTGCATCAGATATTACTTGAATCTATAATTAACGTGCCTTTGGAGAAGCCTTCAAAATCAACACTTCTTTCTTTGAATTATTATTTATTTTTTTAAGAGTTGTTTGCATATTTTTGCAATACTGTTGACATTGCTTCGTTTTATATATTCCTCCTCGAACCGTTTCTCCTTGTCAGAGTGTCCCGAGGGGGCGTTTGGAGCTGACTGCAAGCAGATATGTCACTGTGCACCTGGGGACACCTGCAGTAAGGATACAGGAGAATGCAGCAATGATGCCTGTAAACCGACATACTACGGGATCAACTGCCAGTGTTCAGGTCAGATTGGGCAAAATTACACTTGCCCGCATTTATTTACCCGACAACTACTATCGGTCATGTAAGAGACCTTTTGTGTCCCGAGAAATACCTTGGGTCTACATTGTTAGAGTTTACAAAATTCTATTCACTTCGGCTTGTTTCAGGTCAGGAAATCTATCCAAACGAAGTGTCGAAAACTGCCAGACAACGTAACGTGACCTTTTCTTGGAGTCCGCCACCTTGTGCCTTAAAAGGTGGAGCCATCACTGGATACTCGTACCAACTCACAGATGTGCGTTCTAGAGAATTGCTATCATCAAACACAACACAGAAAACTGTGACGATAGACGGCTTGGTACCATACACCGAGTACGCCTTTCAGGTCGCCGCCATTACCAACGTTGGAACAGGAGTGCGCAGTGAACGTGTCACTGTAAGGACAGCAGAAGCAGGTAAGTGCTCCAAAACAGAGGTAAATCATCAACCTCGGGTAATTATCACAGTCGAATATTTGGAGCAATCATGTCGGTCAAGAATCATGGCTGTGATTGGTCAAACGAACATAAGGTGGAGTCTAGTTGATCGGTCTACTCCATCCAATATTACGTTGCAAGTATAAAAAAAATTACGATAGTACGCTTTTCGTCTCTTTAATTTTGCAGAGCCAACAGCCCCTTTGAATGTCGGCATTACGACCGCTGATAATCAACATCTCGCGGTTGTATGGACGGAGCCTGATCCTCTACAAGGGATCATCACAAACTACGATGTGGCCTATTGGGTCGTGGGAAATGAATCATCGGGAGTTGAAGTGTACAATCTCACAACAACCACACTGTCTTATCAACTACCCAATCTTGTTGTTAATGTTACCTACTTCATGCAGGTAATTAAAAACAAATTCTGTCCGGTGTAGTATTAGGCCGGGTAAAAGTTCCTTCTGTTACAATGCATATGTTTCAACGACTTACACAAAACAATCTTACTAGTGAGGTATTAATTTAGGTTATTCATATATTTATGAGAGAGGTGTTGAAGAAGATATTTCCTAGATCAGTGTTACTCTCTTTGTGAATGTTCTGTCTTAGGTGCGAGCCAAGACAGTAGTGGGCGTTGGCCCGTGGAGCGAAGTCATCAATGAAACGGTAGTAGGAGGTAAGAATGAATTCTCATACCTCATGCGTCCAAAGAATGAATACACTGTACCCGGCCCGAGACATTGTTTGTTAACAAGAAGCAACTGAAAAATATCCCAGTTATTTCTGTTTCCGGATGCAAATGTTAGATCTTTGTTAGTCCACAAAACTTAGGATTGTTATAGAAAAATGAAGCAAATTAACTTGAGTTTGATTTCAAGCTGCAAACTCTGGAATCGACTAAAGGCCGCTTTATGTATTGATTTTACCGGCCCAATGTTGGCAGCCATAAAGAAAGTCGTCACTTTTGTTTCTTTCAGTTCCTGGACTTGTGCAGAACCTCCAATGGACATACAGAGCTGAAACATCACTGACCATCGCTTGGAAGCAGCCGCTAAATCTTATGGGACCACACACGCTTTATCTCGTATGTACAAGTATTAACGTATTTCAATTTTGGGATTTGCCTTTCAATATTAGGACTGAAATAAAGATGGACAATTCGTCATAAAACGGTGCCATTAATGACACTGGAATCCTTCAAAGTCTCATACAAAACAAGGTAAGAGTTATATTTGTCTCATTTGTTTGCCATTCAAAAGCCTTAAATACTGCCGACGTAGAAATTACGACGGAAAATTCAAAGCATTGCTTCAGAGGATATATTTTTGCATTCTGCATCTATCACCCCAGCGCATTCAGCATCCTACATCCGACACACCCCAGCGCCCAAGCATCCAGTCACACCCCACCGCACACGCACAGCCATAAAACCTCCAGCATCATCCACATCCCAACACTAACCCTCTTGAGGACGGACAGAGCACACTGTCCGAAACGAGTTCTACACTCAACCAACTGGTTCTTTTCAGAACCACACTTCTTGCAGGAAGAGATTACTTTCCACATGGGAGTTACCCGCAATCTTTCTACTTTATCTCATCCGTCATGCAAAGCTTCAAGTCATATATACGAAATATTTTGTTAAATGTCTTTTCAGGTGAGCACCAGGGTCCTAGACAAACCATATCAACCGGGATTTATTGCAGAGGATAGATACACCGAATACCAAGTTGATAATTCACCATATACCGAAGCGAATCTTCAAACGGGCACCAAATATGAATTCAGTGTTTCGGCAAGGAATCACAGATTTGTAGGAAAGCCTTCAGTCTTAGAAGTCTACACAAAACCACTCTCAGGTGATTTATTGTTTAACCGGAATTATATCGCTAGTTAAAGGATAATTAAACACGTATGTAGTTCTACTTTTGTTTTATGCCACTTTATTAACTCAAACTCATAGGAAGTATGAGTAGTACCACAATAACCGAAACAAAAAAGCACGTAAAAAGGCCTACTCCACAGATCGATTTTAAAGTCATGATTTTTTCAGTAGTTATATTAAATTATTCATCAATGCAAGGGACTTAAAACAAGGCTTGATATCATTTTTAATGCTGTAATGAGAAACAAAATGTAATTCATTGAACAGCAGAAACAACTCACGTGTTTTTTCAATGTTTAAATGAAATATATAACTATACATTTTGTAAAACTAAAGTCAACCTAGGACATTATGTTTACTTTGGAAGTTGTTCTATTCCAATTACATACCAAACAAATTTCACTCTGAAGACCTACTTTTCCCTTTTATTCCCTTCAAATCAACGACAGCTCCGCCAGCACCAAGGACACCGATGACGCACGACAACGAGGCGACAGAGACGACGGTGACAATTGGTCTCCGAGCCGTGATCCCGGAAGATGACACGTTTGTCGAGTAAGATTGTTTACTTCGTTAGAACGGGATCAAACATTTGTTTTGCAAGGCTTTCGATGCTCGGTGTGACAACATGAAGTTTCCGAAGCTAGTTTACATTTTATGGAAAGCACAACTTCTATAATAGTACGGTTGCTTTCTTTAAAGATTTTGATGCAAGAGGGATCAGCTATGAATAATTATGACAAATCATACACTAAAGGATTAAGAAAGAAAGCACTCAATTGGAAAAGATTATCAATT